TTCGATGACGCTCTTCAAAGTACATATTTAAAAAAGGATTAGAGAAGAAGCGCGTTTTCAAATTAATCCGAGCGAGTGTGTTTGGACGCAAAGTGTTTCATGGCATCTCAAAATTTCTCATTTTCCAAATATATCCGGATTAATAAATTTGGGGCCTAAGTTGAAGTTCACGTAAATGATGTCCTGACATTCGAAACTTTAGGGAAAAACAAAAAAACTGGGCGAGTTAACGTTCGCAAAGACGTCCGGGACGATTACTGGAGACGGAAAAATTGGCCAATAGCTGACCGTCGTGTCGTCAGTAGCGATCCCAGAAGTCTTTGCGAAAGTTAATTCGACCCAGTTTCCTTCTTGTTTGTAAAGTGGCTCGAATTTTAGTGTGGTAATTATCTGTTTTGCCTGAAAATAAGATGAAGTGACGAATAGTCCTGGTTCCGGTTGTTCAAATGTTGGATAACTCTATCCGGTGGATAAACTTTTTTTTGTCTATCCACTGGATAGAGCAATTAGTTTTCCAAATACTTAACTGCCGGATAGTGATTTATTCGGTGGATAGCGCTATCCAACTGTTGAACAACTGAAGCAAGTTGAATAAAAGCGCGGAAAACTTATCTGTACAGGTTTAGCCTCGACCTAAAGTAAAATATTCACAAACACCAGCGAGAAGTGCCTGAATTTGAGTTTAAAATAGACACAGTTTTACCATAGCTGGTTGTACAAAGGTCTTTTTCTGACTGGAATTTGTGGATATATCTACCTTAAGTCAAGGCTAACCCTCTATAATAGAGTCTTCAGTGCTTCTATTCAGCGGCGGGGACGAATTCGACACAAAGCTATTATCATCATAAGACCCGTCCGCCAACTCTACTAACACTACTTGGCAAGAAGCCAATGATGCTTAAAGGTAAAGGAAAAGAAAAGAAAGTGTCGAGTGTTAAGTCTTTTGACGTGCTCTACATGGAGCCAGTCTCAGTCCAAATGTGGTACAAAAAGCCTTTTGCAAATTTCTCGAATACAGTCGAATCATGTCTCAGACTATATCATGACATACTTCCTCGAGAGCCAAAATGGTGCAGAGAACCATTCAGTCAAATACAGTCGGACCTGTATTAAGCGGTCAGCCCTCTTGGGGAATGGCCTACTGACTGTTTAATACAGCTTTGGAAAACATCATTAAAATAAAGATGATGCACAATTAAAGCGAAATATCCATCATAAGACAAATTGTCCTCGAAGTGTAATTTCTACCTTTTCTTGTCAAAAAGAAAAGAAAGTTTAAGCCAGACCACTAAAAGCTATTCACAGTATATCAATGTTACACAAGTGTGATACATTTTTTCAAAGTGACCTTTAATAGAGGTAGAGATAATAAAAAATAACTCGTTGAGACCTTGGAAATTCGAAATGCGAGACCGTGACCCCCTTAACAGAAGTGACCACTTATTGCAGGTCATTTTTACTGTCATTAAGGGAAATGATTTGCGGGAAGTTGTTAAGTAACCGCTTTAAATAAAGGTTCGCTTGATACAAGTTTGACTGTATTTCTGTTACCTTTTAACCCATCCCAGATATAAAAGAATGACTCACACAAGCCAATACAGTATATCCATGGCATACATTAATCTTTGCTGAAATTCGAGAAAATATTATCGCGCTTGTTAAAAATCGGGTGCAATTATATTCTGTTTGGGTTTAATTTCGCTGCATTTTAAGTCTTAAGACATTAAAATTACAAAGCCATCAAAACAAATAATGAAAAGTCAAAAGTAATTGCTTAAAAACCGTGTGATAAAAGTATTGATTTTAGCATTCAGACATCAAGAGAGATGTTTCCTTGAGAATCCCGCAAACAATTAACACCTTATTTTCTTGCGGATCGACAAATGTTGATTCCAAATCTATTTGTGTTTTACTATTTATGGTTTTTATGATGTGATAAGCTTTCAAGAAAAAACTTAACCCAAATGAATCTGTTTTTATTATCTCAGACCAACTGGGAAAATTTTGGTGTATTAGCATCAGCACGAATACTCCACGTTAGTAAGCAATATCTTGATATATTATAGCACGTGTTCAAGAGCTATCTTAAAGAGCATTGTTTCCATGATTGAAATAAGACTTTATCAGTTTTGATCCGAAATTACCACGAGCAAACAGCAATGGAATAATATAATGCTCGACAAGACCGTCATCTGTCACCTGGGCAAACATGTTTGAGAGCTACGAAGAGCTGGATTTAACTGTTGACTAGTACTGTTTCCAGAACTCAAATCGGTAACGTACAGTACTTACACTGAGTTTCTTTCGAAAGAATGAACACCACAAACGACTTGCTTTTTCCCATCGTTCGCGTTTTTGGTAACACTACAGCAAACTGGACTCATGATGAAAACGAAACTTCTTCTGAAGGGACAAATTCTTTAACCACTGAGATGGAGTCTCTGGTTTCGAAAGCTTTCAAAGTTTTAGCTTACGCAGTTGCTATCATTCTATCCCTCGTCGGCAATTCTCTGACTATCGGTTCAGTTTATCAGAACTCGAGCAGGCGTATGCGAACTGTAAATAACTACCTTATAGTTAACCTCTGCTTCGCTGATTTGCTCATCACAGTCTGCAACATGCCTAGGATGATATCCATAGTGTTGGTTGGTTTTGAGTGGCCCATCGGTGGAACGTTTGGTCTCCTTCTGTGTAAGATCAACAGCTCAGTCCCATTTGTGTCCCTGCTAGTCTCTACTCTGACATTTACCTTTATCGCGCTGGATAGGTTCTTGGCAGTAGTCTTTCCTCTCAGACGTCCTATGACAAAACGAGTGGTGGCAGTAATAATAACAGTGACTTGGATCCTACCATGCTGTTGCTACTATCTACTATTTCGCTACTCTGATCTTATTGAAATACAAGGAAAAACGTACTGCGCTAATTTCCTTATAAGAGACCTTTTGAAAACAATGGATAACTACCGAACATACTTAATTTGCGACTTTATTTTCGTCACGGGCATTCCTATCACTACGACAACAGCCTTGTACACTGCCATCGGGGTGAAAATGTACACCAGAGAAAATCCTGGGATTCAGACAGCCTCCAGCACCGCCCGTAACCGTACGGTCAATCGGAAAGTGATCGCCATGCTCGTGACGGTGGAAATCGTCTTTTGCATTTGTTGGTTTCCCTCTTGGCTTGCTCTTGTATGTATTAGCCCACAACCTCTTCAAACCATCTGTAACAGCGCTACGTTTCATTTCGTGAGGTACTTCATGTCGTACTCTAACAGTGCCATTACACCATATATCTATCCAATTTTTAATCAGAACTTTCGAGCTGGATACTTGCAAATTGTTAACCAGGTTCTGAGTTTTTGCTGTGGAAGAATGTGCCCCAGAGTCGCCACTAATCAGGTCTTTCCTCTGCAGGAAAGAACAACTACTCATTTCAGACGTGGAATGCGTACTTTGAACACAACTCGGATTTAAAAGCAATCGGCCCCTGTTAGGATGACAACAGGGCTGAGGATGGTTACATAATTGATAATCCTCAACCCAAAGTCACGATTCAACGTCAATAGAAAAAAGGCCAATAGAAAGGCAACATTGAACGGCAATAGAAAGAAAGTCAACAGAAAGTCAGTAGAAAGAAAGTCAAGATTGATCAAGAACGTCAATAGAAAGAAAGAAAGCCAGTATTGAAAGTTGACTGATTACCACGACATTGGTCAACCATGAGACTGCGAGGGTTTTTAACTGGACAGACCGGACTGACTGATGCAGTGAGCTTCAACGTTTCTATTATACGGAGAACGACACTGCATCGATTATTAGAACCAGTTAGCTAAATAAAGAATTGATTAATTCATCAATTAATTAACAGTTTGGTTTATAGAGTCGTACACTTCTGATCGAATTGACTCAGGGACCAGGAACGAGAACCATCAACAAACTCGACCAAGACGTGACGTTACCGCACGAAGCAAAATTCATACCATAATTTTTTTTTGCTGTTGCCAGCTTTCATGACTAGAATTGTAAGTCTTTTACTAGAGAAACTGAAAACAATGGTTATGCGATTTTTTTTTGGCGGAAGGGGGATAGGAATTGGAGGAATAAAAATAAATAATAATAATAAAAAAAAAATGGAATACATGGCCTCGGGACTAGGCAAGACTTCATTACTATGCATACAAGGGAAAATTAAGCCTATGTTAATTAAGTCAGTATAAAGAGTGTATTTGCCAAAATACTGCAACTTAAGTGATTCCTAAGTTTACCTGTATTGAGAAAGTAAAAGCCAAAGCTTCGCCGTTCGTTATCTGTTGTACTCTGTTGATGGGAAAACAACAACCAGTGGAAATATGAGAGGAAAAATTCTAATTGCATTATGGGGCGATCTTCTAGGTAAGGGTCAAATATCCAACAGGTTGATGATGAAGAAGAATCCTGGATTTACACGAATGGGAAGAAATGACAAAAATATAAATTAAGCCTCAAAAGGCCTCCACACCTCTCCTGGGCCTCAAATATGATCTCAAAACAATCGAATCATACCATCAAAACGCGTTCACGATCGCCACTTTTAGTCCCGAAATATAATTCGATTGCAGTAACCTCGACTGCCAGCTTAATAAAAGGAAAAAACAGGTGAAAGAGGGAAAGGGAGAAAAAAGACTTCCTCTGCCTTTAAAAGAGAGGAATTCTCTACTACGGGTCTTGACAGTCGTCCTAACCTTTAATGTCAACCGTAAACCACTACTGATAGAAAAAATGGGGGTGTTCAGAAAATTGGAGGGCTTTCTGCTTGCATCGTATGATTTTGAGGTGATCCTAAACTAAGATAACTTAACATATCAGGGTCAGATAGCTCATTTAAATTTTTTTTTTATTAAAAAAGAATAGAGTTTAGTGTAAATACGGCTTTAATTTCTACGTTGGTTTAAAGACAGTGTACTAGAGACAACAAAATAAATAACGAGAAACTTGAGGTCTGAGTTTCCTTGTTTTTCGTCAGCCTTCGTTGTCGAGAAAGGTGAAGGGAAGAAGATGCACTATTTTGCCCGCAGTTGCTGCTGGTGGACTTCCTCCTTCCTTTAATTCAGTTTTGTCTTCTCGTGTCGTTAGCTGTTCAAAGAGATGCCACATACGCCCAAAATGTCGTTTGATAGTGTCGCCTCTATAGACATCAAGACAAAAGGATTTGGGTGCCCGTAGACGGTAAAGAGAGCCCTCGCTTTCTAGTTCAATACTGGGAAAAAGCGAATATCGATATCCTCGGGAGTCTGGGTCATTGTCAATAGCCACATCAAGGAACTGCTGGACAACAATCATTACGTTGGCAACAATTGTTGGGAGGTCGCTCCTGGTCCAAATTTTGTCTTCTTCTACATCTGGATGTTGAGCACAACTAAGAGCGTAAAGTGCGAGGACAACTGATTGGAAAACATGGGATTTCAGATAAGGTCTTTGACCAAGCGATTCACCAACATCCATAAACCTCTCGCCATCCGAGACCTTCATATCATAGTATTGTAGCTGTTTGACAGAATGTAGTCGCAGTTTCTTCCTGATTTGTTCTCTGCCATGCTCTTTGTCCTCATTAGCAGAATACTTTGCCATTTTCCTGTAAGAAAAATTTAATAATAAATAAATAAAAACAGGTGTCCTGACTTAACACTGAATGAGTTGACTTTCCCAAAAGGTATGTTTTTATGATTAACTTAACTCGTCAGCGAGATGAGCAATTTAGGTTTTTGCAAAGTCTTGATCAAGACTAAAGACATGGAGAAAGGATAAAATTTAAATCGATATAATTTCCGGATCCGGACTTCAAATTCGTGTTTTCCCATTTTTTTTACTTTACCCCGGCTCTGCGCAAAAAATGAAACATTGTAACGTGAAACAATAAAATTGTCGCACGACACGTTACTCGCACGTTTTACCACACCTTAAGAGAGAGAAAGACCGTAATCGAAAAAATTCTTATCCAAACTAAAGTATAACATGCAACGGAATTTAAACTTTTCTAAAGAAGTTGAATACTATACGAGCATGTTAGGAGTACACGTAAATTCGAGAATTCCTTGCCTTTAAAGAAAGCCGTATCCCTGCGTCCCATATATATATTTTTTTAATCAACGCTTTTCAAATCAACTTCTGCAATCTTCCTGAATCTGCGAAATACTCCGAGTCGGGAGACTTCAGATTAACGGGAACAAAGCTCAGTATATTGACACTGAATCGGTTTTACATGCATGAATAACAAAGTTACCTTCGAAGTCCTCTCATGGAAAGCATGTGATTTTTATCCACTGTGAAGAGAACACTGTCGACAATCATATCAGGGTCGGGCAGTTGTAAGGCCATTTGGTTAAGTATTTTAAAGATACGCACTGTAATTTTGACTGGATGGTCGTTGTCCATTGTAGAAAGCCATATTCGTTCTGCAAAGGTAGTATCGAGGTGAATAGAATCGTAGATTTTAGTTAAAACTTTATCCAACAATCGTTTCCTTTTCAGAAGCTCTTGTTGCCACGATGGCCCCATGTCGACAATACACAATTCTGGCAAGTCGCCATCGTAAATCTCTCGCAAGTCTATTGCTAGAACAAGATCCAGAGTCAATTTAAGTTTTCCTCCATCGCCTGTGTTGTAGTTGAACTGCAGCATCATAGCGGGCCCATTTTTTCTTGTTCCAGTACAATCAGGATTGCCAAAACCACCGTGTTCCCAGTCAGGTAGAAGTGGCAGCTTTATCAAGGCAGCATTCACAGCTTCTTCAAACCTTTCATGAATGTATCTAGGTAGTAAACGATCTACCACGGCATTGGTACTCTCTGCATTCTCAGTACCGCTATTATCCGCGCTTTTAACAGAAAATGAGACATCAACACTATCCACTGGTAGGACTCCAGTTTTTGAGGTCTCAGGTAAGACGTTAAGTCTTTTTAATCGTTCAAAGGGCTTTTGGCCATTAAAGGAGAAGTTGACGCCCACAACGTTCTTTGACCGTGTTTCAGAAAGATCCCAATGGAAAGCGAAATCCATTTCGTCGGGTTGTCCAATCTACGTACAGCACATTTGAGGCACAAAAATAAGTAGATTTCACTGATTAACCCTTTATAAAGTCCAAGCAGTGACCAACATTAATTTTCTCATAACAATACCAATACATAAACAACAAAAATGGTCATGTGAATTAATATGACGAGTCACCAAGTGAAAATGCTTTTGATCTTCAATCACATTCTTTCAACCAAGTCTTTGATAAAATGCATGGAGATCAGTCAGGAGAATTTGTATTTGGATACTGGGGCTTAAAGGGTTAAATTTAAGGTCTGTTTCATCGCTGTCTAGTCATTTTTTAAATTAGTATTGCCAATTAGTCGTACTTGCTCGCGATGGAACTTAACGTAAGTGAAATAATTACTTGTACACTGTAAGTAACAGTTTGTAAATATAGCTGTTACTGGAAATGTTTTCATAAACATCTCAATTGCAATCGTTCAATTTTGCTTATCTGAGCCTCAATTTTTAACGCCGATATTTTTGAAAACTTAATTTTTGCCTGTGGAATCCGGAAACCTTTGATTTGGGATCAGGAATTCAGGTCGAGGAATCCGAAATACCGCTAACGAGGAATCCGGGATCCAGTAACTGGGATCCGTAATCCATTGCCGGGTGGAATTTCGAATCCAAGACTGTCTTGAATTACCTAACACTGGGCGAACAGATTAGTGATTCAAATTGGCAACCAGTCAATTAACCTTTACGCTGACCTTACACAGCCTTTTTCCGTGTTATGTCGAAATAAATAAATAAAAGAACAAATAAATATTAAAATAAGGGCAGACGAGAATTTTCTAATTTCCTATGCAACCCTTTATTGTTACGTGAGGAGGGTTGGGTTCACTCCAAACAGTCGTTCCTTGTATCGTCACGCAACGCTCCTCCTATTGCGTGACAAGTCAAAGAACGGCTGTGTAGCTAGCTGGCTATGGCTGCCAGCAGGCAGGGAATTTTTGACAGGGGGTTTTCAACCTGAGCTCACTGTTGAAACTGTTTTACAGCTAGTCATTTTCCATTTGTCATCGTCACTACGTATTGGAACAAAACTTTCGCCTAGGTAGTCACTGTGTTGTCAAAATTAATAATGCATACAGCCACAGGGTAGCTGTAAAACTGCAATTTGGAACATTTATCTTGAAATTAAAGGACTTATTTTCTGTATCTATAGCTACCTTTTGAAAATTCAATGCAGTTTATAACATTTGTAACTTCAAAGCATATATCTGTGCTACCATGTGGTGGTGGGGGGGAGGGGGGAGTCAAAGACTTTATCCCCTTTGAGCATCCCCCTGGCATCTAGCTCTGAAATTAACAATTACCTTGGTTCGATTGTATGAACTTCCACACTGCATCATACTGCCTCTGAACAAAGAATCTTCTTTCTCAATAAGCTGACCCAGCTGATTCATCATCAGAATCATATCAGACTCAACTTTACTGGCCAAACCTTCCTCATAATTCACTCTTCTCTTCTTGTCATAGTCCAGTAATTTCTGCAACAATCCATCAATCTCCCTCGGAGACAAGTGAAGAAACCAGTTTCTCATTTGGCTTGCCATAATTTGCCTACAATCATATATAATGAAACAGCACAACGTTCAGTCACATATTAATTGTTAATTATCTGAAAAGGATAAGCAGATTGAGGCCGATGGATGAATGCCTGGTAGGTGGTAGTGAGACACCCAGGGCTGTCAACCCCCCCGACATCTTCAAATTATTGACAGGGAAGGGATAATAGATGACGTCATAATGCACAAAACATGATGTCATTTGTGCAAAAAAAAAAAAAAACATGTGAAAAAGATGTTGTTGGAATTGTAACATTTGTACCTGATTGGTTTACTTCTCACCAATCACATAATTGCTTATTGCAGTGGTATACTGGAGTTTCTGAGGAAACATTTCATGTTAAAAGTTACATAGCTTAAACAATGCAAAATATTTGAAACTTCATCGACAGAAAGGCGAATCTACAAGAAATAGCAAACTTCAACAATTATCCGGGAGATTTCAGACTGTAATCTGGAGATCGGGCGAAACAATTCAAAATCAGGAGTCTCCCGGATTATCCAGGAGAGTTGACAGCACCCATGACACCTTACCCCAGGGCAAATCCAAAAGCTCCAATTTAATTTAGGTACTACAGTCAACTCTCTCTAAGACAGACACCTTTGGGACCGGCACTAGCTGTCCATCTTAGATAGATGTCTGTCTTATAGAAAGTCAAATAGAGGGAGCAAAGAAAGGCAGGGACAAACTCTACTGAGGTGTCCATTTCACAGAGGTGTCCGTCTTATAGAGATGTCCGTTAAGACAGAGTTGACTGTATACTCAAGACTAAAGACAAAATAGACTTTAGAACTATCATTTGGTGGTTTAATTCTGAGAAGGCATCCAAAACAAAATCAATTGGCCCTGTAGAGTCAGGAGGGGCCCTTAGGGAATTGTTGGATGGGAATGTGCCACTGATATATGAGATGTACAATCATGAACAAAAGTCCTTAATTGGGACAGTGATACAGTATTCTTATTTTTCTGTCATTTTTGGGTTCCCTCAGTCCCAGGGGCCCCACTCACATATTTTAATGACAGGGGGGTCCGACAGAGGTTCATATTTTATACCCCAAAAAATCCCAACTTCAGAATTTGTCTACCCAAAAAATCCCTACTTTTTTTTAGCATACCCAAAAAAATCCCTCAGTGTTTTTGCATCAGCAAATTTTATTATGTATCTTCTGTAAAGCTAAAACATGCCAACTTCAAATTTGGTTTTGGTCAAAAACGAAACTATACAAAAACAAATACAAAAAGCTTGCATGACTGTTATAGTGTCTCTTCATCCTATCTTCTGCAACAACTTTACAGGAAGATATTCATTATGGCATCTACAGCATGTCTTGTCCTTAGCACATAATTTGCTTGCTATTTGTACCGAAACATCCCTATGTAACTCAGATCTCGTGGCATCAGACTTTTCACCATGTTTTTGTGCAACTGATATCTCAAAAGGTGGACAGACAATTCCCACCAGGTATAGAACACATCCAAACACACCAAATCGTGTTTCACCAGGCATGTTACATAGGAGTGTGGTGAAATATAGCAACTCAGGGCAACTCAACTGTATCAAATATAAGACTTGAAAATTAATACACTGTTCATTAGAAATTCAAGCCAAACTGTATCCTTACAAACAACATTGGAAAGTAAAAACCGGATCTATTAATTGTGATTAATGTGTGGTGTACATAACCGCTCGCCTAAGTCGCCCTGTTCGAGTCCGGGAATGTTGGACTCTTCGACCATCATCAGCCATGTATTCCGAAGTGTCACCATAATTGTCCAATGGGAAATATGCTTCTAGGTAAGTAGCATCGGCTAGTGATAGCATGTAATGCTGCAGGAGCTCATTCACTGATGAGAGAGTTGACCTCTAAAGGATTTAGGACAAGTACAGTGTCAACAATGGACTGAATCTCTTACCTTGTAACAGAGGATTCAGGACATCAAGTCACATCTGTCACATGGCCTCAGCTCACTCACATGGATCGTTATATCGCCAAAATGTTATGTTACTAATATTTTCAAGAGAACTTCTTCATACAACAAAAATGGGATCACAACTGACTGGACCTCTTAGCTCTTGCTGGAACTCAACCGCATGACTCCCAGTTTGAGTTTACAAAATCAGTTTTCCTTGCCTTTATTTTTACATAGCAACATGATCATTTGATAATAGATATATATCAGCTGGTAAACATCTAATTCATAAAATGTTTACTTTGTATACAGTGTTTCCATTGTGGTCTTGATGACTGGCTTGAAAGGCCTTGAATTACGTGACCTATAGAATATTTCTCTCTGGATTAGATGTGCAATGGAGTGCCAGTAATTACTTTTCACATAGATGACAATCTCAGAAATATCCCGTAATACCACACAAGCAGTAAATTGCGCTTATGTTATTGTTGATTTGAGCTGATGAAAAATACAGTATCCAAGAAAATCCCTGAGTGGTTTTCGCGACCCAGAAAAATCCGGGCGTCTTTCATAGACCCAAAAAAATCCCTTTAGGCCAAAATGTCACACCCAAAAAAATCCTTCGGACCCCCCCGTCATTAAAATATGTGAGTGGGGCCCCTGAGCCCTCAGTGCATCCTTATTCGAAATTTTCTTGCAGTTCTCCCTCCCCCCACCCTATATGTAGTTGAAACTTTGAAAAACTTCTGGATACGTACACATAAAACTTTGTATGTGGGGTGAGGGGAGGGGTTGGGCCTGTTTGAAGGTGAAATGGCCCAGAAACGCATATTTACTGCCAAATTCTTTGTATCGTGCTACACACTTTGCAAACTTTGAAGGAAGTTTGGGTGTTTCTGTTCCTTCAATCATCTTAGCAGACCTCTTAGGAAACACATGTTTACTTGAATGAGTTCAAAAGGTCATGGTTTGTTATTGGTGGATTTCTATTAGTTTGGTTTGTTTCAGTGTGTTTCAAGGTTTAATTGCTTGTGATCGTCCTGTTTCAGGCTATGATCACTCAAGATCAACACGTCACGATTGATTGTACAAAGTGTCACGAAATTCTTTAACCTCACTTACACTTCAAACAAATACCAAGAAAGCAACAAACTTTGGCTTGTCGGTGTTTACTGGTAGGTAGAAAATTATTTTCATGCTGAATTTGCATCAGAATAGTCAAATGCGCACTTGACAAAATCCCCGAAATGTTTGTAAATTTTAAACAAAGTCCCTACTATTAAAGTGACGTTTTTAATTTACAAAAGGTTACTTTTTCCATTTTTATCCAACTGATTTGGCAAATACTAAAACAACTACCCCCCTCAGTATCGGTGAACAGCGCTGGATATATACCTCCACAGTGGATAGTCTATTCACCTCCCCTTCAGGGGATAGTTATATCATATCCAGCACAATAAAGCTCAAGAACTTTTTTTAGGCTCAAATGAAACACATAAAGATTAATGAACTAACCTCTCATTCAGTATCTGAAGAATACCCGGTTAGATGTAGCCGGTGACCCGTCTAATCAGAAGAAAGATTCAAACTAAACGCAGACAACTTCCGCGTTTTGATGTACAGAAAATGAAAGGTAAATGAATCCGCTGTACAAAAGGTACTGCATTTTTATTGCTCGCTTTATTGGAAATATTGTAATGGAGTGTGGACATCACAGACGTGGGTGTACTCCCCCATTATTTTACTTTTTTGTTAAAGTTGGTGTACGTTATCAATAAAACATCTTTTCTATAATTCAGAACAACTTAAAGATCCGTAAAGCGTCAGTTCGATCTTTTGCAAATAGCACCATTGAAATAATCAAATAAAGTCAACGTAACCAGTTTTTTAGTTAGCGTTGACCAAATTTGAAAGAAGTTTGCGAATCCGCAAAAGAACGAATGCACCAAGAAACCCTAGGGACGGGGTTACGTTGTTTTAATAGAGCAGTTGACAAATTGGATAAGTATTTCACACATGTTACGAAAAAGAAATGGCCGAACAGAACTACTTACTAACAAAAAACATAGCAATATCATCAAGGAAAAAAAAAACCTCGACGGACGACATCTGCTATTTGGAGAATATCTTCAGAACTGAACATCTCTTTGTCTCCTGAACGTGCCTAGAAACAGGCAAATGAAGATGAAAACTTAATATCGATGTCCAGGGTGAATTTTTTTGGCAATCATGGAAAAGCAAAATCTTTTACTTTATGAATCTTCAGGTTTGTTTTCAGAAACATTTAGTGTTAGTAGACGCACTATTTCTTGCTTGTTATTATTTCCAGCTTGACTTGCTTCGCCCAGCGTAGACGTATCCGCTTGGAAGTATCCGCCAAGAGTCTTATGTGCTTCCTGTTGGTTTGTTAACTGTTCAAACAAATGCCTCATACGAGCAAAATGTTTTTTGACCGTATCGCCTCGATACACATCAAGGCAAAGTGACTTGGGGTTGGGAAGGCAGTAAAGACCACCTTCACTTTCGAGCTGAATCTCGCAAAAACCCCAATTACGAGATCCATGGGCATCTGGATCTTTGTCAACAGACTTATCAAGAAACTGCTGGACAATCATCATCACGTTGGCAACAATGGTTTGTATGTCGTCCTTGGACCATATTTTGTTCTCTGCTGTATCTGGATTTTTAACGCATCTAAGCGCGTAAAGAGCAAGAATCACTGACTGGAACACATGGGATTTGAAGTATGGCCGGTAACCAAGACATTCTCCCACATCGGCAAACCTCTTGCCTTCCGGGACTTTCATATCAAAGTACTGGAATTGTTTGACAGGACGTTCCTTGAGGTTATCTGAGACAAAACTGTGCACCTGAGGTTGTTCTGAAGTACGATATTTTGCCATCAAAATGTGGAAAAAAGTATAACAAACCATAGTTATGGGAAGTAAGCTTACGCTTAAGTAAGAAGAAGAGGAAGGAGAAGAGCAAAGCTCCTCCCCAACAAACGGCTGCTCACAGTGTATCCACCTTCGTTTCCCCATGCGATTTTAGCCAATCACAGCTACAGTTTTATTTATCGGAACCAAATAATCCCTTTAAGTGCCGTCCAATCCTAGCCTTCCTTCTATCGTGTCAGTGTGGTGTCGATTTGTCTCCTATGTAGCTGTTATTTGCGGCGCCTTAGGTTTTGGTCCGAATAAAACAGACTTACGACTTTGAAATGATTTGACACTAGCGAGGACGCCAAGAATTGAATTGAACGTCTACTTAACATGCTATATTAGTCATTCTTTACTCACAAATTCAGTGACCTTTTAATAAAGGCGATATCTAGTCAGCGTCTACAACTGTTAGGTGACAGACCTTGATGAACGATGCTGATAATCTGAGAACATTCAGCTGTTTCCTGCAAAAAACACCTCACTACGCGCTCGGTCGTTACTTACGAAGCTCACGCATTGTAATTTATAAATGGTTCTTAACTTTCTCAAGAGAGCGTACTTGCGCATTCTTTTACAGTCTTAAAAAAAATATTGGAAAACAATTACCTTTGCATAAGTTTCATTGCAGCCATATGACTCTTGTTAACAGTAAAGAGGGCACTCTCTACCGTCATATTAGGGTCAGGATGTTGTAAGGCCATCTGGTTAAGTATCTTAAACAAGCGCACTGCAGTTTTTACAGGATGGTCAAAGTCCATTGTGGAGAGCCAGGTTCGCTCAGCAAAGGTGCTATCCAAGAGAACTGCATCGTGGACCTTGACAAGAACCCTATCCAGGAATTTTTTCTCCTTCAGCAGTTCCTGTTGCCAAGTTGGACCCATGTGTACAACACACAGCTCTGTCAGGTCACCATCATAAATCTCTCTCAAGTCTATTGCCAATACAAGATCAACATTCACATTAAGTTTATCTCCATTTTCCATGTCGTAAATGAACTGCATCATCAGAGCTGGCCCATTTTTCCTTGTCCCGGTACATTCAGGACTGGCCAATCCACCGTGTTTCCAATTCGGAAGAAGTGGCATTTTTTTCAAGGAATCATTTACAGCGCGATAGAACCAACCAAAGATATGCGTCGGCTGCACTCCCTCAAAAACGTTATTTGGATGTACAGAGCTAATGACCGAAAAAGTCAGAAATACACGGTCCACCCAAAGGAAGTCAGAAGAAGACTTTTTATTTAAACGTTGGTATTGTTTCGGGCCTTGAAAGGAAAAATCGGCGCCTACTAATTTCTTCGACCTTGTCTCGGAGAGGTCCCATTGGAAAGCGAAATCCATTTCATCTGGCAGTCCGACCTGTTAAAGTAAGCACGAGAAAGGAGTGTCAAATAAAGACAAAACTGAGTGGATTTAAATACATTAGGCACTTCAGTACACGGAACGGTCTGGACAGAGCTAAAATGAAGTCCGTGGATATATGGATATATTTAACAGCGACATTGCTAAATGTTCACAAGAACATTCTTTTTCTGTAAAACCTTGCCTGTGAGTGATTTCGTCCATAAGGATTTCAATAATTCTTATACGCTGCAAGCTGTCCTTGGGTCTCCGAGGATGTGCATCTCCATAAAATACCTTATAGTTCCCTATTTCCTGGTTATTCTCTTCCCCATAGCTGCGATAATTTGGTCGGCTCCGCGAATCGAGCGCTAAGGCGGGTTCCAAGATGACGCGCCAGCTCAACATCTGACCCACGTTGTAACCGTTGGAAACCGTTATTGTTTCAAATTTCTGAGGCTGCGCAGAAGCCGAAAGTCCGCGTGAAGAAAGCAACGACAGGATATGTAGCTCACTCTTAGTGAAACCAGCCATCAATACACTTACACAAAATGGCAAAAAGGCTTACAGTATATATAATCTTCATTCAAAGGAAAACGGGTAGTGATAAAATAAGTTTTTATTCCTTCACAGAAATAAAGCTTGTATGCTTTGTTTCTCCAATATAGGACCCAAGGAAAATGGACACTTCGGCCTCATGTTGAAGGTGATGGGAAGCCAAACAAGAGATACTTTTATATCTGCCACATTTTAGACGTCAACAGTTTTTTCAGACCAGATCTTGTTGGACGTGGGAAAAGGTTATTGTTTTATCGTTTACTGTAAAATTTCGTCTGCTAAAATTGCCCCTGGCTCTACCAGCTGTATCGATGATGTAACTTTTTGCCTAAAGCTTTTGTTTTTGTTTTTTCTTTTTGGCAAAGCTGTGCTGTTTGAAATGGCGAGCAGTTCATTCATGAAAGTATGTGTGGATCGATGTAAAAAAAAATATATGATTCAGTGGAACCTCTTCTTTGGGACACCTCTATTCAAGGGACACCTCCATTCACCGGACGCAGAATGTGGTCCCGGAAAAACGCTCACATCATCTTTGTATCTATTACCTCTATTTAAGGAGCGCCTCAAGTCTCGAAACCCGGGTTTTACCCGCATTCAGAGGACACCTTAGCACTCAAAAAGTTACTGACCACAAACACGGTTGGTATCTTTTAGTATACAGTAATCACAATTATGGAAGCTTTCACAACTGAACTATCTTACTTATATCAATGAACAGGCTCTCTTTATGACTTGATCACGTGATCAGCTTTCGCTAAACACGAAAACAGTTCACTTTCATTTGCACAGGCTGAAAGAGCATATTAAAATTAGGTAACCTGAGAATTTTCAGCAGTATATCTCAAAAGTAGCGACTGCAACGGCCGCCGAAAGTTAGAAGCTTTTGTATGAGTAAAAGCAACACTTTACACCTGACTCCTGAAAAGCCTCGTTTTATTTACACCGTAAAATATACGCAAGAATCCGTTCGTCTTCTTCATACAATGAAATGCACTGGGGAGTTCTTGACCAATCTGCTAACTGTAATACTGTGATACGGAAGTAATTTTTTGGAATCCTTCGCCACGACAGTTTTCCGTCATTCAATGGTGAACAGACGTGTATCGATAAAGGTGATATCGTAATTACACTGGGCGACGTTCCGTGCAGTTTTATAAAACCTTTGAAGTCATTATAGTCAGCCTCTTTTTTGTGCAAAGGTAAGGGGAAGAAGGCACACTACATTATCGCTAATTCCTGCATGGGAAGACTTTTCTTGCTGTCCAGAAGCATCTACAAAAGGCTTACAGAAGTTATCATCTGCTTCTTGTTTGACAGCAAATAGCTGTAGTACATGCCACATACGTGCAAAATGCTGTTTAACGGTTTCACCTCTATAAAAATCAAAACAAAGAGATTCTGGCTGATGTAGATTATAGAAATGTCCTTCACTTTCCAGAGAAAGCTGAGGAAATGACCAAAAACGCGATCGCTTCTCGTTCGTAGCTTCGTCAACAGATCCATCGAGAAACTGCTTAACAATTATCATAACATTGGCAACAACTGCCGGGATATCTTCTTTTGACCAAATTTTGTCCTCTGCTATGTCTGGGTGTTCACAGCATCGAAGGGAGTAAAGCGCCAAAACCAAAGATTGGAAAACATGGGATTTCAGGAACGGCCTGTGACCAAGGCATTCACCCAATTCAACAAACCTCTCACCTTCTGGGACTTTCATATCATAGTATTGAAGTTCTTTGATAGGACGAAGGAAACCTTTCACGAATCTTTTAGCACGTTCTTCTTTGTCTTCTGAGGCTGCAATATTTGCCATTTTCCTGTCAAAAAAAGGTTTGGAAATGACAGTTTGGAGACAATAAATGTTATCTTTTTAAAAATTAATTTTCCCTTTATAATGTTCAATTATTCTAACACTTACTGCAGTAGAGGACAACGGAGCATCGAGTTAAACTTATTTAAAAAGATGAGCATATATATTCCTTTTACCGAAATTTATATGTAAATTTTCCCAGTTGTTCTTTGATTTTAGAATCCCACTCATGATCAGCCATTCTCATGGAACATTTATTTCTAGCAAAGATAATTTATAGAGATTTGGAGCCTTAAAGAACAAAAACAAGACATAACACGCAGGCGGAAACACACCGTTGACCAAATGACCCAATTGTTCAAATCCAGATTACTGGCATAGCTGTCTGTTTAAAATGACCGAATGTGACATTGCATGTGTAGACATCAAGGGCAACGCAAAAAAAGAAGATATTTACAGCCCCTTCTCTTGCAACCTTTACATTTTTACTAGTTGTTACTTATTTTTCATTGGAAACCGTTCACTGGTATGCGTCACGGAGACCAGGGAGTGAATTACTCAGCAGCAACGCGTGACTTCTGTGAAGTCATCACAATGGAACAAAAATACCTAACTCCTATTCATAGACATTGATCAATGTCCTCTGAATGTTTCAAGTCTCCTCTTTATTACAGATAAAGATCTTCACTCCTAAATACATTACATGGGTTGATACAGCGCACAAAACAAAATACCTTTGAAGTCTTTTCAGCATCATCATACGTTTTTCATCTACGGAATACAGGTCTATTCGCAAGTCAGCGTTGGGATCTTCTAAGGCAATGTGGTTGAGAATTTTGAAAATACGTACTGCAATTTTAACTGGGTGATCGACGTCCATGGTAGACAACCACATCCTTTCTGGAAATGTGCTGTCCAAGAGAACTTTAGCGTGGATTTTTGTGAGAATCTTATCTAAGTAATGTTTCTTCCTCAAAAGCTCGTTCTGCCAAGACGGGCCCATGTGTAAAGTACACAGTTCATCCAAGTCACCATCATAAATTTCTCTCACGTCCATTGCCAGTACAAGATCCACGGTCAGTTTCAGGCTTTCTCCATTTTCCTTGTTGTAGTTAAACTGCATCATCAAAGCTGGTCCATTTTCTCTTGTCCCAGTACATGCAGGACTCGCAAACCCACCGTGTTCCCAGTCAGGTAAAAGTCTCAGTTTCATGAAGGCATCGTTTACAACACGGTAAAACCGGTTAAAGATATTCGTTGGTGACATCCCATTTTCTACTTCTTTTTCTTCGTCGTCGTCGTCGTCCTCCTCCTCCTCCTCCTCCTGATCGTGGTTTTCATTGTACTCACCACTACCATCATCTTCATCTGTTATTTTAAATACGACATCAACCACGTCGACAGGAACTAATCCCCATTCTGATAAGCTAACACGTCCTTTTAAACGTTCAAAATGTTTTTGTCCCTGCGGGTAGAACCTAACGCCTAATATTTTCTTCGACCTGTTCTCCGAGAGATCCCACTGAAAGGCAAAATCCATTTCATCAGGTTGTCCAACCTGCACACAGAAAAGAGTAAGGCGATGAAGAGTGATGAAAATTGGGAAGAGATTTGAGCTGCTGTGTTCACAAGCGGCACTACTGAACAGACTGCTCTAAACGCCGTATATTGAGCACACCAGGCCCACGCACAAACAACACTTGCCATGACTCAAGTTCCTTAAAATAAATATTACACTGCCTCTCAGTCAGATTTTGCTCCACACACGTCTAAACGCTGTGGGATGGGTAAAAGGGAAACTGTTTCAAACTGGTTAGCAAACCACTCTTTCAGAGTCAATTGGGGCGCTAATGATTTTCAAGACACTGGCAATTTTGTAAAATTACGCATGTTAAATATCTCCGTTATCGTCAGTTCCAGATCAAGTTCTTTAAGAAAGAAAGCTTGTACCGTTTCGTCAAATTTGTATGCACAAGCACCATAATAATATAATACACGTTTCTGCGGAAAAAGCGAAGCAAAAGTCCCGAATGATTGTCCGCCGAAACGGCCCATAGTTGACCGTCATATTCGCCTACAGTGTGACTATCCCTGTCAGGATAACTACATGTATTGATGGAGTAACTATCTCAGGCCGACAAAAAACCAGCTGTTGGCCACTGTATAGGGCCAACTTACATAGGCCGGGTTAGGTTATCGAGTCTTGTCATAATAACGTTCGTTTTTGGTCACTGACTGTCAGTACGCCTACCCGTCGGAGCGATTTTTCACTTTTCCCATTTTCTCTCGTGAGATAAAACTTAGAGACCAATAGGCCTTTTTCGGCCTTTTTTTGGCGGAATGAGAAGGCTAAATGGGAGCATAAAGGTACCAAAGTACAAAGTGCCACGTTAGATTTCGAAAACAACCTGAAGCTGGTTACCGATTTTTGCGAGAGCTTATATCGCCCCATGTAAGGGAATACAGATTCCGGAATGCGAGAAATTTTCGCTCGTGGAATCCAGAATCTTGGGCTTTGGAATCTGGAATGTAGCTCAAGGAGACCGGAATCTTACTTAAGATCGAAATCTGGAATCCCAGTTCCACAGACAAAGAATCCGGAATCCATGTCATATGGATTTCAGAATCCAAGACTGTCTTGGATTCCCTTATATGGTTGGACTTATGCTTTCAATTAATCATTGCATACGCATCACAATTAACTTGGAAAACGTTTTAGAGCACTTCCTCTATACATGCTGCGATACAGACACGAGTCAAGAAATTACATGATAAAGAAATTTATACCAAGGACTGAAGAGACAATTACCTTAGTTCTATTGTATGAGCTTCCACACTGCAGCATTTTGCCCTTAAATAACGGCTCCTCCTTCTCCATCAGTTCACTTAATTGATCCATCATGCAGATCATATCTGACTCAACCTTTTTGGCCAAACCTTCCCGATAATCCACTCTCCACTTGTGATCATGGTCTAATAAATTCTGCAACAATCTTTGCCGTGTTTCAGGAGATAAGTGAAGAAACCAGCTTCTGATGTTGTCTGCCATCGTCAGCTATTCAAATACAACAGACAAAGTTTGTTTAATTATGAACTCAGTAAAATAGTTACAATAAGGGAGTTATTTTCAGAACAACTGAGATTGAACCACAATTATTCATGCAATATATCAAACATGAGACACGGCATTTTAATCATTGATATTTTAATGAAACACCGTTTTGCGTGGTGCCCGATATAACTTAATAGAGGAACAGGATGAAGCAACTGAAACTGAAAACACAGGGGACAAGTTAACGTGAACATACGTAGTGAAAGGGGGGCATATCTCTTGAATTTGTGACCAACTCGTCAGAAAATGAAATCTTGCGTGTGTTTGAAGCATAACTTAATTCAGCAATTATAGCATTTAAGAATATTTATGTTTTGAAAACGTACTAATTATGCTATAAAATAGAGCGCATCGTTACCTAGAAAAATGCCGAACGACTTGTTTTACACTAAGAAGATAGTGATGATCAGCCCGGGAAGGGGATGGGGGGTTATCTTTTCTCAGTGTCGAGTGAAATACCACGACAATACAAGTTTTAGATCATTCATGGCCCGATCGGGAATACTTCATCACTGCTTTAACCACTGTGACCATAACAAACGGCATTCCTTCTCTCTCCTGACGATAGAAACTTTTTTAAAATTTTGTCTTCCAGATCGATGGATGAGAGATTGATCGATTCATCTCACTATTTACTTCATGTGGTGTCGAAACGCTATGAGATTCGAGGCATATTTAGTATGCCTAACACAGTGGAGCTTTTCTCATTTAATGGGATGTTATAAATGGCCGGGTATTCTGCATTTTAGTTACTTACCTTTGAGCAGTATGGATCGTCGAGGTATAAGAAGTTTTCAAGGGCTGCAAGTAAAGACAAAGGACAAAGTCTTTGGTCAGTTCGCTGACGATGAAATCGAAAGAAGCGATCGACACCAGGAAGTACAGAAAATGAGTAGCCCTGGAAACTAATTTATAAAATTAACTCCTATGGACTTGGACTGGACTGGAATCAACTGGACTAGGACTGGACTGAACTCAAGCAATGAAGGAATGAATGGGAGACTTGAAAGGAATACAAAAACACCAAAATAGACGCAACCTCATTCCCAGGGTTCTCTCTATTGCTTCGAGAAAGAACCCTGGTTGTGGCTGGTCTCGTGGAAATGTGTGTCAATAAATTGTGCAGCGGGGGTAGGTCCTCTACTAAATTTTGGCGACTGGACGATGAAATACTATCTGGAGTAGGGAGAAAATTCTTGCTTCAAAATGGCGCTTAACTTTCTAAGTGAGTTGCGCGCAAGCTGCGTTGCTTTTCGGCTGGTTACAATAAGATTATTTTGAAGGCAAACAGGTTATTTGTTTAGAGAGTTTGTACTTGAAAAAAGACTTGCTCGCCGTCCTTCCCGCAACAGGATACGGATAGTCTATCACGATTTGCACGTGCAGAATCTGCTTGTCGTAAATTTGCATACTCATGAGTGGAAGAGATAATGCAAAAGTCAGGTTTACATGAAGCACCACCCAGGAAGCAGTTTAAAAATTGTTATAATGGTATTTCCCGGTTTGCTCTATGTTTTTGAAATATGAGCAGATTCCGGGCGATTCCGTGCAGTTCCATGAGCTAGATCTACCCAACAGGCAATGACAGAGCTTATAGACAAAATATCATTTGCAATTAAAAGGAATGAGTATACTAGTGGAATATTTTAGACCTTTCCAAAGCATTCGATACTATTAGTCATGAGACATAACTGCAGCATAAACTAGAACATTCTGGGATTAGAGGGACTCCATTGGAATGGTTCAAAAATTGTCTAACGAACAGGAAGCAACTAGTAAACTATGCCTGTCAAGTCGGATGTTCGAATTGTTACATGTGGCGTGCTGCAGGGATCGGTTCTTGGTCCCTTGGTACTGTTGATCTATGTAAATGACATTTCAGAAAACTCACTCTTATCATTTTTACTTTTTGCAGACGACACAAATTTGTTTTACAGTCACAGAAATCCTGAAATATTAAATCAGATTGCAAATCAGAAAATGTGTAAAGTTGCCAATTGGCTTAGAACTAACATTTTTTTTTAATATTAGCAAAACTCACTTTATTATTTTTAAAACTGAAAACAAAGAGAAACCAAGTAACTTTGAAATTAAAATCAACAAAGAAACTTTTGAACAAGTAAACAGTACAAAGTTTTTGGGATTAATAATAGAAAAGAGCTACCCTGGAAACAACATATTAAAAAAGTGGAAACAAAAATATCAAGAATGTTAGGTATAATGATCAGAGCAAGGCATTATAATTACCATATATACCCCTATCAATACTTGACACATTGTAACATTTTTTGGGTATAAGTATTTATTCAACAAGACTTACAGGTATTTACAAAATTCAAAAGAAATTGAGGGAATTATGACATTCTCTAAATATAGACAGGAATCAAGGCCATTATTTTTGTCATTAGGACTACTGAATATACACGAGTTAAATACGTATATGATAGCCTTATTTAAATTTGAAATCTCACTTGCATGGAAATCTACCGTCAGCTTTATGAAATTACTTTTCAATGGCACTATTCACATGAATAATACTGGAACTTCAAAAACAATTACACATAAGCTACAAAAGAACAAATTATGGTACATTTTTAATTAAGAACGGAGGAGCAAAGATATGGAACAGCTTGCACAAAATTAAAGAAAATTAAATCAAAAGAAAACAAACAATTTGCTTCACAACGATGTGATTCTGACCTGGAAAACCGTGAGGATAGTAAGAGCTGTTTTAATAGATAGTAATATTTTATCTATAAAGTATATAGCTACATGTTATTGAATTTAATTAAGCCGTCGTCATTAATGTAATTTTAATCGACTTTAGTATTGTAACAAAGGGGAGATCTCCTCAGAAAGCTGTGACAAGGTTGCAGAGATCTTCCGGCTACTAGATATGTTTTGCAATCTTAAACAACTGTAAGAAAAAATGAGTGGCGAAATAAATGAATAAATAAGAAAATAGTTCCAAAAATAATAAAACCTTAAAGTCGTCATGGTCAGACTTCTATTTCTGCAAAGTTAAGGGGAAGGAGACTCACTACATTATCGCTAATTCCTGCATGGGAAGACTTTTCTTGCTGTCCAGAAGCATCTACAAAAGGCTTACAAAAATTATCATCTGCTTCTTGTTTCATAGCAAATTGCTGTAGTACATGCCACATATGTGCAAAATGCTGTTTTATGGTTTCACCTCTATAAACATCAAAACAAAGAGATTCTGGCTGATGTAGATTATAGCAATGTCCTTCACTTTCCAGAGAAAGCTGAGGAAATGACCAAAAACGCGATCGCTTCTCGTCCGTAGCTTCGTCAACAGATCCATCGAGAAACTGCTTAACAATTATCATAACATTGGCAACAACTGTCGGGACATCTTCTTTGGACCATATGTTGTCCTCTGCAATATCTGGGTGTTCACTGCATCTAAGGGAGTACAGCGCCAAAACCACAGATTGGAAAACATGAGATTTCAGGAACGGCCTGTGACCAAGGCATTCACCTAGTTCGACAAACCTCTCACCTTCTGGGACTTTCATATCATAGTATTGAAGTTCTTTGATAGGACGAAGCATGCCTTGCAATCTTATCCCACGTTCTTTGTCCTCCGAGGCAGCAACAGTTGCCATTTTCCTGTCAGAAAAGCATTGGAAGTGACAGTTTGGAGGCCATGATTGTGATCACTGTAAAAATATTTCTCTTCATATGACCAACTATCAACACTTAATTGCAATTAAGGATAATGGAGTTTCTTGTTTAAATTTAACAGATGAGCATATCTCATTTACTGAAAAACTACCATATGCTTTTTGCAAGCTTTGCTGAATAATCTTTGCTTTTACAATTCGCCTCATAATCAGCCATTTTTGCAGCAAACATTATTTGGAAAGGTACGGACTCTATTCAGACCAGGGAGGGGGCTTTTTGAGCCCCCCTCAGTAAAAAACTGATCACCAAAACTTAGCGAATTTTCCTTGAAATTTTAAATTTGTCTAAACGTTTACGTCAACTTTGACGTGGCCATTAAAAAAGGATTTATTTTTGATTTTAGTTATTAAATAATAGCATTACACTTAATTATAATTTGGCAATATTTTATCAAATTTACTATCACTTTAAGTGTGATCCAGGCTTTTTAGAAACTGATTTGAGAAAAAACTTGAATTTAAAATGACCAAATGGCAGATCTTGGTTCAATTTTGAACAGCGTTTATTTCTCTCGGAATTTCAAAACTTGCGACTTTTTTTGCTTCATGAGCATCCTTCATACGGGTTTCAAAGGAAACTGAAGACACTTAATAAATTCAAAATGGCAGATCCAAGAAGGCGGATAGTTCCAGATCATTTTTTAATGATAAATGATGTCATTGTGGCATCAATTCTATTGTTAAAGATTATTAATGTGTTAACCAATTTCTTGATTTTGTCAGACACCTTACTATTTAAGTATTTCTTGCTTTGAAGGGAAAATTGATGGAATTTAGATTCTGCCAAAAAAAGAGAATATGACGTCAAATTTCGTCATTGTGGCAATCAGGGTATGCCTTGATGTTGGAAATGACGAGTACATTATTCTGTGTAATTTTAGTTGGAGTAGTATCATGAGCGGTTTAGGCCCCGCTCGGTCGCAGGAAACAAAAAACAACCCGCTCTGAATAGGGTTAAAGTAAGCTGAAAAGACAGCACCAGGAACGGGGACCATTGTTGACCACATGACCCAATCGTTCTAGTCCAACTTCAGTTGGCATTGCTTTCCGTTTAAAAAGGCCGAGTGTGACATAGCGGGCGCGATCCATTCGACAAAAATTTCCGAGCAGAGGTTCGAAAATTACGTGGGGAAGAATGGATCTCGACGGCGACCGGTCTCGTTTCATTCCTCTCTCCAACAGAAACTCAGAAACGCGTTAACGGGCAATCGGGATATAAACCGTCAGCTTCAGTGTGAGGTAGCAACCTACTGGTTGTAACAGACCTCATTAAATGCTTGCTGAGGACGAGTTAAGTGAGTATTTGTTGAAGAAAACGAATTATTCGAAGACTAAAACAATAGAGTCGGAGGCTGAAATGTCAACATTTTCGTACGAATTGGTTTTGGCGGGAATAGTCGCAGTCGAGATGCGAATACAGACTGACTTGCTTGGATTTTTTTTGCAAAGAGCAACAAGTAAATACACCAAAAACTTACCTGCCAAGCTTGACTCTCGTGAGATAGCAAATTTTCTAGCATGGGTACAGTTATGTCACAAAACTGCACCGGTAGCAGGACTGAAGCCGCCAATTTTTGCCAAATGGTAAACACCCAGGAAGTACCGAACCGTGAGGAACTGGGGATGAGAATGGGTCGGAATCGTCGAATGGAACGGTCATTTTCCGATCAGACCAGCCCAAGCGGCAAAAGTGGTCCACCTTGAAAGGTGGACCAGTTTTTTCGAAACCTTTCCGGTTGGACCGAACCGATCCACTGGGTTTTTGGACTGAAATTACCGGATATTTTAGTTGAATGGATCGTGCCCAGCATATGTGGGCATCAAGGGTAACGAATATGCAATGCACAGTTAACATTTACTGCCCCTGCTTTTAGAATCTGTACTTTTTTCTGGTCCAAACAACGAATGGGTTGATACAGCGCACTATAAAATTACCTTCGAAGTCCTTCCAGCCACATCATACGATTTTCATCTACGGAATACAGGGAACTGTCCATTCTCATATCAGCGCTGGGATCTTGTAAGGCTATCTGGTTGAGAATTTTGAAAAAACGAATGGAAATTTTGACTGGATGATCGATGTCCATGGTAGAAAGCCACATTCGTTCAGCAAAAGTGCTATCCAGGAGAACGTCATGATAGATTTTTGTGAGAACTGTATCCAAGCAATTTTTCTTCCTCAAAAGCTCACGCTGCCAAGACGAACCCATGTGTGAAGTACACAATTCATCCAAGTCACCGTCATAAATCTCTCTCAAGTCCATTGCCAGTACAAGATCCACAGTCAGTTTCAGGTTTTCTCCATTTTCTCCATTTTCCTTGTTGTAGTTAAACTGCATCATCAAAGCTGGTCCATTTTCTCTTGTTCCACTACATGCAGGACTCGCAAACCCACCGTGTTGCCAATCGGGTAAAAGTGTCAATTTTATCAAGGCATCATTTACAACACGGCAAAATCTTAAATAAACATTCCATGGCGACATCCCAGTTTCCACTTCTTCCTCATCGTCGTCGTCGCCCGCCTCCTCCTCCTCCTCCTTCTGCACCGCATCGTTGTTCTCCTCGTAATCATCACCATCACCATCTTCTTCTGTGTTTATATTAAATATCACATCAACCACGTCGACAGGAACTACTCCAGTGTCTGATAAACTGGCATGTTCTTTTAAACGTTCAAAATGTTTTTGCCCTTGCGGGTAGAACTTAACGCCTAATATTTTTTTCGACCTGTTCTCCGACAGATTCCACTGAAAGGCAAAATCCATTTCATCAGGTAGTCCAACCTGTAGACAAGAAAGGGCAAGGCGATGAAAAGTGATAACAATTGTGGAGAGATTTGAGCTGCTGTATTTACAAGCGGCACGACTGAACTGGTTGGTCTGCGAGCTGTACTGAGCACACCAGACCCGCGCACAAAGATCCATGCATATATCTAAGATTTCCGAGGGAGAATGGGGCTTTTGTTAATTTTCTGGAAGATATATAGAAGCAAACAACTCTCGCCATCACTCAAGTTCCTTAATTATTACACTGCCACACGGTTATACTTCCTCTATACACGCCTAAACGCTGTGGGATGCTTAAAAGGGTAACTGTTTCAAACTGGTAAGCAAACACTCTTTCAGCGTCAACTGGGGTGATAATGTTCTTCAAGACACTGGCATGTAGCATTACACAAGTGTTAGATATCTCCGTTAAAGTCAGCTCAAGATCAAGCTCTTCAAAAACAAAACTCTAACTGGGAGTCGGCCCATAATTAGTTGACAGTCATATTCGCCTCAGTGTAACTATCTCCGTCAGGATTATATATCGTTAGTGTAACTATCCCAGGGTTTTGCTAAAAGCAGGCCCGCGGCCCAGAGGCCCGCGGCCCACGGCCCGCGACGGCCCTGCGGCCCGGAGGCCCAGTCCCGATTTTCCAAGGTCTTTTTGTCCAGCGGTAAATCCACGCACATGCACAGATCTGCATCGGGTTTGGGCGTGCAAAATGGACGACGGTGAGTTTGAATTCGTTTACCATTTTAATAATCATTTCAATCCAATTCGACCCTTTCTTTCGTTGCATGTTGCTAAGTGAAAAACGTTGTCATTCTCTGTTTATTCGTCTGTTTACAGAACCCGATAGTGAGGAAGTCCATTCTCAAACGATCTAAGTTATTTTCAAACTACAGTTTGAAAAACTCTGCCCTGCTCTTCTTTTGGGGTGGGGTTCCTGTAAACAGACCGACATGTCTCTGTATAGAGAACGATTCGCAGTTCACATATCTCATTACTTATGATATTTTCACTTTCAAAGTATGGTTTGAAAATAACTTAAATCGTTCTATAATGAAAGTCTTCTATTGTGCTATCGGTTTCTGTAAAGAGACGAATGAACAGAGAATGAAAACGTTTTTATCTGAACAACATGCAACAAACAGAAACAAGGATTCAAATGATTAAATGGTAAACGAATTCAAACTCACCGTCGTCCATTGCATGCGCGTGGATTTACCGCTGGACAAAAAAACTGGAAAATCAGGACTGGGTCACGGGGCTGCTGGGCCGCCGGGCCGCCGGGCCGCGGGGCCGTCGCGGGCCGTGGGCCGCGGGCCGATGGGCCTTCGGGCCGCTGGGCCGCTGGGCCGTCGCGGGCCGTGGGCCGCGGGCCGCTGGGCCCCGGGCCTGCTTTTAGCAAAACCCACTATCCCAGGCCAACAGAATACCAGCTTTTGGCCATGTATAGGCCAACTTAAATCGGCCAAGTTAGGTTATCGTTTCTTGTCATAATAAAGTTCGTTTTCGGTAGGAGCTATTTCGGTCACCGACTGTCGATACGACCTGTCGGAGCCGTTTTTTTACTTTTTCCCATTTCTCTCGTGGGAAAAACAAATTTTTTCCGCCCTTTTGTGCGAAGTGAGAAGGCTAAATGGGAGCATATAGGTAGAAAAGTACAAAGTTCAACGTAAGATTTGAAAACAAAGCTGGTTACGGATTTTTGCGACAGCTTATACTTTCAGTTAGTCATTGCATGCGCATCACAATTAACTTGGAAAACTTTTCGAGCACTTTCTATATACATGTTGCAACACGGACACGAGTCATGAAATTACTTGATCAAGAAGTTCATACCAAGGATAGAGTAGACAAATACCTTAGTTCTATTGTATGAGCTTCCACACTGCAGCATTTTGCCCTTAAATAACGGCTCCTCCTTTTCTATCAGTTCCCTTAATTGGTCCATCATGGAGATCATATCTGACTCAACCTTTTTGGCCAAACCTTCCCGATAATCCACTCTCCACCTGTGATCATGGTCTAATAAATTCTGCAACAATCTTTGCCGTGTTTCAGGAGATAAGTGAAGAAACCAGCTTCTGATGTTATCTGCCATCATCAGCTGATCAAATACAACAGACAAAGTATGTTTGATTAAGAACTTACTGACACTAATATCAGTAAAATAGTTACAACAAGGGAAATATTTTCAGGACAACTGAGATTAATCTACTTCTTTACTCATTTATTTTTAAAATCACTTGACGGTAACACAATCACAAATGGAAATTTCCTCTGCTTGCAAATTGCTGCGTTAGGAGATAATTTAGAATAGAAAAAAGAATTAACTGTTTAATTTCACAGATCTTAATATTCACAAAACATAATAAAGATGAATAAATATTGTCTAGAATTTCCTATTACTTGAAGACGGCTAAAAATTTCTAGAGGACCGTTCAATTTATGTACAATTTTCGAAGCTAATCTTATAAACTCCGGGCAATTTACTGAAGTTTACTTTTTCATATTTCACTTCCCAGATTGGGCTATTTTTCATACAAAAAAGGAAACCTAAATGTTTTGGATTCAAAAATGTGATGAAGAGAGGAAATCACAAAATTCTCAATATTTAGTAACAGGTTAAATTGCATCTGAACTTTTCGGGAAAATAAAACTGAAGCTCTCGTAATTTCGAAAAGACCCAAGTTTCCCTAGGATGACCGAACAGATACAAATGATATATCGCCGCTTAGAATGCATTTCCCGACACCCGGATAGCCTAAAATGTATTTTCTATGTAGTTAGGAGGAAACCGTCGTTGGGTGCCCCTGAATAAACCTCATCATTACCTAGAAATTTATACCAAACGACTTGTTTTAAGAAAATGATGATCAGCCCAGGAAGGGAGGGTTTATCTTTTCTCAGTGTCAGGTGCTAGGGTCATTGTACGCCGCCATGTAAAAGATTATTCATGGGGGACATTTCATCACTTCTTTGACCACCGAGACCATAAAAAACAGCATTCCTTCTCTCTCTTGACGATAAAAACATTAGTTTTTAATTTTGTCTTCCAAATGGATGGATGGGGGAATCGATCGATTCATCTCACTATTGCTGGTTTGCACGTGACGTCACGGCGATCACGTTGGATGTCAAGAACAAAAGCACTTCTCTCCTCTGAGAACTTAACTCTGTTTTCATGTAAATTCTTCCAGAAAAAATTCGGTTGTATTGTCATCCAACATGGCCGCCTTATCACGTGGTTGCAAACCAAGAATTTACTTCATATGGTGTCGAAACGCTCTGATATTCAAGGCATATTAAAACACAATGGAGCTTTTCTCATTTAACGGGATGTGTATAAAATGACCGGGTATCCTGCATTTTAGTTACTAACTTTTCAGCAGTATGGACCGTCGAGGCAAGAAGTTTTTAAAGGGCTGAAGGTAAAGACAAAGGACAAAGTCAAGACATTTCCAGTTCGCTGAGGATAAAATCGAAAGAAGCGATCGACGATAGGAAGTACCACAGGAAAAGAGTGGTCTTGGAAACTAATTCATAAGATTACCGAATTGGACTGGACTGAATTCAAACAGGAAGACTGAAAGGAATACAAAAACACCAAAACACTAAAACACCGTTCCCAGGTGACGTGGAAATGTGTGTCCATAAATTGCGCGGCGTGGGATTTAGAAAGATTTAGGAGTTAATAATGCGATTGCATTGCCTATACCTAACTATTTTTTTTACCTAAACAGCGTTTTACTAGATCATATTGTAATGATTCATTTATTCAAGTCACCTGCAATCATGATTAGTTTTTTCTAGTTTCTTTCCAAGAAAAATAAGGGACTGGAACTCTCTACCAAGTGGCATATGTACAAGTACAAATTTTTCATTAGGGACTGTGCAATAATTATCAGGAGGGTGGGGGGGCTGAAAAACTAGAGGGGGGCATTACATAAAATTGCTGCCAAGATAGGGGGGCTCAAAGTAAAATCACTCATTTGAGGGAGGGGGGGCCTTAAGTTTTATTCGAAATGTAAATAAAATTAAACGCAATAAAAGATTCTCAATACAGGCATCATGATAGACTGTAGCAAATATCCCTGCAAATTGGTTCCCTGTTCCTGATCTAAGTGATACAGCAGCCTTACCACGCGGGTATATTCCATCCAATGTGACCAGTCTGAGTGATGAATTCGATCGACAACTTCCAAGTGTGCAAGTCAAGAAGTTAGTCGATTCTGGCATGTTAACCTCTTCCAACGCCATTGAAATTCAGGAGGTGTGCGAGAAGTTGATGGTTGATGAAATCACTCTCAAAAGTTTTGTTCAACATCGTGAGTTTCTTGCATTGAAAGCTCAAAAAAGGGAAGCTGAACGCAATACCCTTCCAGACATTAACTGGAAAGAAGAAAATGAATTCAAACCCCTCACAGCAAGACAAATTAAGATCTACCATAAGCAGAACAATCTTCATATATCTGGAAGTAAAGCTGCGCTGGTAGCACGTGCTCTTGATTTCTCGCATACTGCAACACGAAACAACGGAAGAAATAGTGCCAAAGACAGTGACACAGAACTCCTATCCAGTGATTCCCAATACGACTTTGATTCTCACACAAGTACTTCCGAAAACAACTCTGATTTGGATTCAGATGACTCCGAAACGGATGGCTTTGTTGAACATTCATATGAGGTACTATTTGTTCCAGACGACGACATCCAACAAGTAAGCGTACGCTTACAGTAGCATGACAATATGAAAGGTATCTAATTAAAGGCATCTATGGTAATGGTGGCGGTGAGGGGTGGGTGTGTGTGGGTGGTGGGAGGGGGTGCGACGTTATTTTTAACATAACAGAGGGGGGTTAGAACTATTTTTTTTTGTTTTGGAGGGGGGTACTGTCTAAGTTTTTGCTAGATAACTCTAGTTTTTCAGCCCCCCCTCCTGATAATTATTGCACAGTCCCTTATTTAAAGATCACTGTTTCTAAGCTAGTATAAATAATTGATCGCTGTTATTTATCTTTTTTATTATTATTTATCTTATTTATTTGTATATATATAGTTTATATTTATTAAGAAATAATTTTTATCATTTAAAATTGTAATGTATTACTACATATAATTTACAAGTGTTTTTTTATTATTATTTTATTATTCATTCAAAATATTAATATTTTTTCTCAATTCTGATTGGCTAAAAGCACGCGCATAATTCACCACAACGACTTACTGATGACCAAATTTGGAAGAATTTTGTGTTTAATGAGGAAATGACGTCAAAAATGCAGCCTTCTACACAAGAATGTATGCTTGGTGTCCACCAATGACGTCTGGAGCATTTTGCGTTTCCAGGCAACATAGACCTTGCCGCCAAGGCGCATTTTCATGTATTACTCATGAAACAGGGGCACCCAGCGACTTTTTTCTGTAAAATAACTATTCGAAGGAGCAAATATTGCCTAGAAATTTCTTAAGCTTGAGAAAAGCTCAAAATTTGTGGATAATAACCGTTCCATTCGTCTCAAATATTCGGAGGTTTTCTAATAGCTTAACTACAATTTTCGGAGGTTGTGTTATTCACATTTTGATAGCAAGATATTGCGATTATTGTTAAAAAGGTCTCCTAAAAATTTCGGTATAAAGACGAAACGTCCCCTATAATTTTCTAATGAAAGCAAGGCTACTTCATGTCCTCGGTCTTTCGACCGGACCCATAACGGTAGCTAACACTTTCGGATGAGACGAAAAAGCCACCTAAGACTTTCGTTACAACCAAAGTTCCCCTAAGACATCCGAATAGATATATAGAGGGTCGTACAGGGGTATTCCCGTGATGCGTGATTGGCTGATTTTATTTTCCGTGAAACGTGAATTTAATAAATTATTCTTCGTGATCCGTGATCTGAAGGTTTTGCGTGACCCGTGAAGAACTTGAATTATTAACCGATATTCGTGATTTCACCACTCTATTTGGCGTGATTTTGAGATGCGAGTGCTCCGGAAGACTTATTTTAAGACTGAAAACATCAAATGTGACAAGTAACAGACTTCGCTATAATTAAAGTAATCCATTGTGCAAATTCACGTGCTTTACATGCCTATCATGGATCAGATGTCTATTCCTATGCCTATGGTCTCCTACGTCACTGGAGGTCAAAAGACAGTGATCCAAAACATCGAAACATCCGAGACATGGAGGGGACGAGTACGTATAGTACGATGAGGGTCGAATGTATTGTATTTTACGTTGACCCAAGGCTAATCCAGTCCCAAAATCTGAATTTCTAAAAGAGAATGGGGTGACAGAGGCAAATGTAACTTATTTGTCAACGACAGACAACGGGGTTGCCATGCCAGTCAGTGTCACCTACAAAACCAAGGCAGGCAAAACAGGAGAACAGATGAAAGAACAGTTTCTCAATGAGGTTGAGCTGTTGCAAACATGTCATTGTTGTATAAAGGCAGCGGTTTCATCACAGCATATTCTTGATAAACCTGCTACAGCGATTTGCAAAAGTGTATGCCAGGCTTGCATAGAGAGTGCTTCTGTCTGTAACACCTGTCGTGCTCAAGGGCAGCTTAGCCACGTGCCATCTCTTCGTGCTTGCCAACGGTGTCTTCAATCCAATGTTCAGTGTTCTCGAGCGGTGGTTCTTGTTTTGGCATCGGACTGTGAATCTGGGAACAAAAGAGCATTTGAATTGATTTCTCAGAGCAAAGCTCATGGAACGTTGCCCCCTCAGTTTATATTCGTTTGTCTTCCTGATGCCGCTCACGTAGGCAAAAGTTTAAAGTGTAGCTTCGCCAACTGGATGTTGCTGTTGGATGAGGAGAGAGCATGTTTGTCAATGTTGCACACAATCCGAGATTCTGATCCGGAATTGAAGAAGTTGCTACCAAGGGACAGTGTCCTAAATAAAGATCGGATGGACATAAACTGTATACTACATTTGCGTAAAGAGTCTGTGTTAGCTCGTCTCCGCACCGTCGATCGCGTGGTGCATTCAGTTCTCCCAGACAGCTACAAAATCAGTGAGACCAACAAGGTAGGGCTATATCCGCATCCCGTAGCAACTTGCCCCGGTGAGCACGGAAAACTTCTCGTTCTGGACTATGCTCCACTGAAGAACTTCACTAGGCTTCTAGTAGTTAGGCTTCATGTCCCAGCAGATGTCAAGATTGTTGGAGAATGCCATAGTGCAGCTAAATCGCTCGCTTACTGCGATAGAATAACGTATGTAAGCTGTGCCACAGGAATACAACTATTTTCCATTACAAAGAAGCCAACGCAACAGGTAAAGAATCTCAAAAAAGTAGAGCTCACTTCTGAGTTGCAGAAGAGAGGACTTGACACACTCGGAACAGTTCCGGTGCTTCGAGAACGACTCCATGCATCTAAAGAATGTAGAAAGAACATATGCAGAAACAAAAAGTGACTTGACTAGAGTTCAGCTTTCTCAAAAGATCGAACCATCCAGAATTGCTAAGGCAAGCGATAGTATCATTCTTTGTGCCAGTGATGTGGAAAAGGTTATCTATTCCATTACATTAGGGATGGATGGAGTGGCAGTTAAAGGCAATGTTACAGTTTTGACAAAATACTCAGCCTCTTGCACAGAAGCAGTGTCTATGTGCCTTAACAATAACATCCTTTACTGTCTCACAAGGGCAACCCAGGCGGAATCTTAAGTATTGCAATGTCAACACTCGAGGAAACCGTGATCGTACAAAACGGAACTGTAGAATGCAGTGAAAGCGAACACGTGGCCTCGTATCTCGCTGGTATAGTTTATGTGGACATTGGAAGCCTGCAAATAAAGACGAAGATCTGTGGTGAGGAGGCCTTAGTTATTGCTGGCACAGGAAAGGAAGGCAATTCGAATGGAAAGGGAGACCAAGCAACATTTGCGCAGCCTATGTGCATATGTGTGGAGCACGATAAGAACATATTCATCTCCGATGCTCAAACAGGCTCTGTGAAGCTAATTACCGCAATAAAAGGCATTGTAAAGTATTTAGGCCATCTTGGTCTCCTGTATAAAGCCTTTTCTGTTCATATGAAACATCAGACTGTACCAATACGTTCCCTACCACAAGCAATCGAGCTTCTGGAAGAACTTGACAGTTACTTGGAAACAACAACAGAAAAAGCGTTGTCGCATAGCAACGATGTAAACGATGCCAGCACAGGTAAACCAAGCGGTTCTCAAGGAACTATTTCTAATCAGACAAAGCGTTCGGTTAACATGATATTAAATGGACTGAAAGATCTGGAGGCGTTAGTTAAAGAACATAACCCAAGCTTCGCCATTGATCTGTACTCTTGTCTAACAGTTCAGGTTGAAAACCTACACGCGGTTGGTCATTTCAAGGACCAGTTTCCTACCCTTTTGCAGTACGCACGGAATCTGGCAAATACCGTATACGAAAGCATTAAGCGTGTAGTACCCTGGAGTGCCTACTACTTCACACATGATAAATCATAATATCCCGTGTTGCGCCAGAGCACTCCACTAAATGCCATTCCGAAGCTGGAGCATCTTAAGGCAAGAAGGGAGTTAAATAGGCAGGAAAAAGACCTCATGATTGAGTGGGCGACAAATAATGGGAGGGCTGCACGACAGAGAAGTGTGAGACAAGAGACCACCATGTTCAAGGCCGGAACATTGCCGTTAAACATGTACAGAACATCAGACTATGCTAAAGATAAAGTCTCATTCAGCCCTAACATTGTCAAAGAGGAGACTGTTACGCCTTCTACATCGCACGAGGCCATTGAAGAAGTTCAAGTAGTAGAGGAAGCCGAGGTAGAAGAGGAGGAAGAGTATGACACTGACTCAGACGCTGAATATCCTATTGCTGACAATTACGAGGTAGGTTCTTTAGACGATTTGTTGTTTCTTCGGGCAGTTACAACGCGAAGTGGACGAATGGTCAGAGTCGTCCATCGAGAGTGATTTACGTATGTGATTTCCGATAAGCAGCCTTTACTTAGCCTTTAACGATTTTGCTTTCTTCAAACACTCTTTCTACCGTAAGAGAAGGTTATTAAAACGAGTACCTTACTTGTATTTTCGTGATTCGGGAAAATGAAATTTTGATAGCCGTGATCCATGATTCGCTGTTTTTTCTGTTCGTGAACCGTGCGAGATACCCCCCCCCCCTGTACGACCCTCTATATAGTTTTTAGGGCAACTCCAAATTAACCAAACAGGTTTCTAAAGCACAGAGAAAACCATTTCCGACACTTCTGCCGTATTTGAATTGGGAACATTCGGCAGGGGCACCCAACGTCAATTTTTGGAAAATATCTGTTCGGAAGATGATTTGAGATCTAGAATTTTCGGACCATTTGTTGTAAAATTTCTTGCTTGCCTGCCTCTCCTAGTATTTTCGAACATCTAAAAAATGGTATAATTGCCCAGTTTAAAGGATTTTTACCCTAAAAAGGTCACCTAGAATTGTCGGGAGCCTTTTTTCTGAAATTTTCGAAAAGGTAAGTTTTGATCCCTCTAATTCTCGGATCACTAGACTTTCAGCTAAGAAATCCGAACAGATGAAAAATTTTTACGGGATAAAAATATGCCTATATATACGTTTAAATATTAAAATACGTTCAACAATGCTATGTTTCAGTGGCTTTAAACTATATTCCCGATTGACGAAAGGCTTTTGTGTTTATTCATCGTCTGTGAAGCAATGTTTACCATCGGTGAATCACGAACAATGCAAATGACACACAAGCACAACAAGTGACTCCAAATCCTCGCCCAGGAAGATTTTCCACCCAAACTCCTCTGGAGCGAGAATTCCGACTTAAAATTCAGCGTAAACAACGAAGGAGAAGACGTCAACAAGAAACCGCGGAGCAGAGAGAACGTCGCTTAGGAATAGCACAGCGAAGGCAACGCCGACAACAGGAGACAGGCGAACAGAGGAACAGAAGACTGGAATATCAGAGGCATTATGATCGTTTTACATGTGGAAAACCCACATTTATTAGTTTTGCCGGTTTTCCGGCCGATACATAGATCAAAGTCTGCAAAGTTTCAGCTCTGTACTACGGCCCGAAGAATAATAAGTTTCATGCGAACTGCACTGTCATATTTGTGCTTTGATTTTGTTTTTTTTTTAAATCCGGAGGCCGAAATAATGCTAAATGTGCTCTTCAATACACTTTTAAAAATAACACCACACAATACACAAAAAAGAAGAAGAAATTAAAGAACAACGTATGGACCTTCACGACGATATTCGCGGTAGGTCACCCATCCAGTACTTAACCCCGACCGTCACCGACAGGGCTTAACTTGAGTGGAATCGGTCTGCCGGTAGACTGGACTGGGATTGCGAGATAGGTATTTCTAGTTAAAATATTCAAGGGCACATCTCTTTAATTTGTGACCATCTGATTGGAAAATGAAATCTTGAGTATATTAGAAGCATACTTTTATTGAGCAGTTTAAGCATTTTATTTTTTATAGGCATTATGTTGTTTTGAAAACTTAGTGGTTTAAACTGATGCCATAAAATACACCGTATTGCAGATACCTAGAAAATTTTATACAAAACGACTTCTTTTAGGTGCATTGGATCATGATCATAATCATGTGTCAAGTGTTCATAAGGTCAGGATATGGTAAACGTATGCCGCTAAGTATAAGATTCATGGAGGGTATTTCATCAATACTTTCACCACCAATGTGACGATAAAAAAAACGGTATTCCTTCTCTCTACTGACGTTAGAAACTTACTCAACTTGCCCCCATCGTTTTGTCCTTCAAAATGGTCAAAATGGATTGGGAATCGATCGATTCATCTCACTATTTCCTTCACAATGTCGGAACACTATGAAACTCGAGGCATAACACAACCGAACGAGATGTAAATGAAATGGCCGAGTAATCAGTATTCTGCATTTTAGTTACTAACCTTTCAGCAGTATGGATCGTCGAGGTAAGAAGTTTTTAAAGCGCTGCAAAACAAGACATTTCCAGTTCGCTGGCGATGAAATCGAAAGAGACGAGCGAAATTGGGAAGCACGGAAAGAGAGAGACCCTGGAAACTAACTGTTGAGAATGTGGACTGGACAAAAGAATTGTCACGATAGACTGCTTGCAGTCCTCCTTTCTCTTAAAATCAGCCAGCGCGACTGCAAACCATGGCGTTTATATGTTGCAGTAAGGGATTAGGACCAGACGAGAAAGGGCGCTCTCCCATTTTTTCTTCTCGGGCTTATGCCCTCGTTTATCGCGGCTCGCGTGCTTAAGCTTGGGTTTCGCGTGGAGTAACTTTGCAAAGAAAAGTAAGAGACTGTTCGCAGTCTAAATAAAACGACATTCACACAAGAACACATAATACACAAAACAACCCCCAAAATAGCCCCCTGCGACGAATTCATACTAGATAGTTTTTTAGGGAATTATTAAGCTAATCCATTCTAGCCCAGAGTAACGAGTCAGAGTAAACTACCATTTATCAAAAGAAGAGAATGGGTACCCGCAGAATCCGAGCAACCGACGTCAACGGAAACGGAATGATGGAATCATGGAAACGGAAACGGAATACGGAATCCGTGAAAGAAGGTTCCAAGTGATCGATTTGAAAGAAAAAATATTAGCAATGACAATGAAATAAATAAACAGATAAAAAAGACATAAATGAATAAATTAGCTTAGTAGAGAAGACTGCTGTATCACTAGAGGAGTCGATTCCGGTGAAAAGACTCTTGATACCATTTCCGGCAATGAAAGCAAATTCTCATGGGACAGCAAATAAAAAGGAGAAAAACGTCACTGACAAAAAGAAACAGGTAAGTTATATGGAGACAGACTTCGTTTAAATCGACAGAGGCGTCGTTTATATAACTGAAAGGCGTCGCCGACAAGTTTTTTTCTGAAAGTCTTTTCTGGGTTGTCTTCAACAGTGTTTAGTTTTATTTATCAAGACAACTTACTCAAGAGAACCATGGCATTGTGGAGTTCAAAGAGAAGAGCGAATTGTGCATTCATTTGCTTGATTCCGCAACCGATTAGATCAAAATAATGAGCCATGTTTAATAAGCCTCTTCAACAAAAATACGGACGTCAACGTAAACTCAATTACCGGTACACCAGTATTCCATCAGCATTCAGCTTTGCGAAAAAGTTGAACTTATTGCTAAAACACCGGAACTGTGGTCACGTCACGGGTCGGTCAGGTGTTGAGTATTCAGTTTCGGGACAATCATGTGGTGTGGTCTGAGGCCAACTACTACTATTCTTGACATTTAGCTACAAAGGTAATATTTACCTGTATTATTCAACCCATAAACTCGTGAATAAAAACGACTCGTAAAATCACTTTCATCGGCCTTGCAGTGCAATAACCCACACTACGGAAAACCTTATCAAGACACAATAACAAGAATATATTTAAGGGAACTGCCAAGAAAACTAAAACAAATTCTCTTTGGATTGTTCTAAATTATGCAATGTGAAATCCTTTAATTTTCTATCATTGATATATTTTTTCAGTATTTCGTATTCTGTTTCTGTTTCCGTGATTCCGTTTCCGTTTCCGGATTCCGGACTCCGGATTCCTTGTTTTAGTGCTGCCGCGACGGGATCTGGTAACTCTTTCCCAGCTCCCCATTTCTAATGGCGAGGGAAAAACAATACATGGCGATTTAGCGAAACTTTGTTCGATCTTGAATGCAACCTACATTATTCATTAATTCAGCCGGCAAAACAAAAATTCCTGGTGTTGTGAGCGGGATAATTCTTCAGAGCGTAAGTTTTGTTAATTTGCACTTTCACAGACAGCGGGAGGGCTATTCGCTTCAGATTACAAAAATATATGTGAATGATTTATCGCGTGATGATCAAATGGCGTAAAAGCAGTTTCCAGACTTAAATAATCCTCCTTCTATGTTTTGGAAAATACTAGCCATAACAACATGGAGGAACAAGTATCTGAGGCAAAAGAGATGTTGTCATCCAAAGACTCACAGCAAAAAGAAGAAGCGGTGAAAATTTTAATTGCAATCTCAAGGCAGGGAAGGAACAAGGAGGCTACAGATCTTTTAGCTAAATGCCTGGAAGAGAGCCAGGGAATCACACCAGAGACTGAAGATGATGTCAAGTGGTGTGTGAAGATTGCAGAAGAGGAAAAAAGACTTAGATATGCGGTTGAGCAGCTTTATAATTCTGTGAAGAAAGATGGCGAAGACAAAGTGGCTATACAGGATATTGACGAGGCTATGAAAAGAGCAAAGGAAAAACAGAAGGTTGGTTACAATTAAATGGCATCACCAAGAATGAACCTATTGCTATTGGTGAAATGTCTAGTCAAATCATGCCTGTGCACTGCCACTTGACCATGGCTAGGGCACTAAAAGGAAATGATATCCCAATTTTTGGTAGCCTCCCACACAGAAGTTCTTGGGGGTTTGTCATGTGTTCCTGGGAACGTGTGACAAACCCCTAAGAACATCTGCATGGGAGGCTAACTTTTTTGGATCGTATTGCAGGGCTGTCAACCTCTCACATCTTCAAACATTGAGAATTGATGGGGAAGGGATGATAGATGACGTTATAATGCATGGCAGGTGAAGCCATTTGTGAGAAAAAAGAGAAAACGCACGAAAAACATGTTGTTGGAATTGTAACATTTGACCTAATTGGTTTGCTTCCCACCAATTACGTTATTGCTAAAATATTACGATGACATACCTGCGTTTGTGAGGAAACGTTCCATGTTAACAGTAAGACAGCTCAAACAAAGCAAAATATTTAAAATTTCATTGTCAGAAAGTCGAATCTACAAGAAATGGCAAACTTCGGCAATTATACGGGAGATTTCAGACTCTAATCTGGAAACCGGGAGAAATGGTTCAAAATCTGGAGTCTCCCGGATTATCTGGGAGAGTTGACAGCCCTGTGTATTAGGATCATTAGTTAGTTTATGGTATCCCGCCACTTGCATTCAGTTTGGAATGTCAGGAGGAATTGGTGGGCACCTGTAACCTTAATTAACACCCATGCACATAACAGCTCACCCTAAAAAATCCTTGCTACAGGTGCATGAGCAACAGCTTGACAAATTTGTCAATATACATGATGGTGAAATTAAATTAAATGAAAGGAGATAAATCTGACTAAGGAGATACATGTAGACACAACTTTTGCAGTTGCAAAAAAAGAGAAATAAATTTGAGAAATACTCTTTGAAAAAGTTATCATTTTGTACCCTTTTAATAGACCCTAGCTCCTAAGACAATGACACTAAAATTAATGCATGTTTTATAGCATCCAGGGCAAGGTTGTTCAAAGCTGGGTTAAAAGATAAACCAGGGTTAGTGTGAAATTTTTATCCAGATATGAAAGCTTTAAAGACAAATTCAGTTTAATTCTTTTTAATTCAAATTGATAATTGGCTACTCTAAAAAAATAGAGAAAATTATGTGAGAAAATACTTTCAGGAAAAAGGAAAAGAAACTCAGATAATTTAAATTGAACACCAAGTTTGTGCTAATCAGCCTTTAAACGACTAGGTCCAGTATGAATATTGTTTATTTAATGAAAAGGAAACAGATGCCCAAGAAGCAAATAACAGTCCTGAAAAGGAGAAGAAAGAAATGAGTGAGGAAGTTGGACTGATGAGCTTGCTGATCAATGCTTTGACTGTTGGCAAAAAAGATGAGTTCACTCTGGCTGAACTAAAGGACACAGTGATGGCATATGCCAGAGGGGAAGTCCCTGAAGTAGTAACGTTGCTGAGTAAGGAAGACATGGATAAATTTAATAAGGCCTCCGTACTGGAAAAGGTACTGCACTGTGTACTAAGTTAAAACTGTCTACTAAGTTGAAAAAAGAAAAAAGGTTGCAGTATTCAATCTGTTCACTCCTTTTAAGCTATAAAACTGGGTTACAATTTTAAAACTAGGCTCAGGTATAAAATTTGCATATTTCTTTTGGTGCTTCCTAAAATAAAAACCCCATTTATTTAGGCCTCCTTCCACCCCTCTCCTTCCCCATCTCAAGATGCTACTGGGTCCTTCCCTTACAAGACCCCATCAAGAAGAATTTTGTCTACCACCTAGATTTGATCTGCAGCTCTGTTTTGGTTCCTTTCAAACCTGCATTATAATTATGCATGTACTTTTTTCGCGAAAGAAAGATGACCATCACAGTATCTACAGTGTATGAACGTTTCTTATAATAAATAACAATAAATTATTTGTTAAGAAAAAAAGGAAAAAATTCATTATGAAAGTTAATATTTGATGAAATTTCTAGAGAGCTGGCACAACAGCTTTATTTGTATTATTTGAAGAAAAGATTTGCAGCAAAGCCAGTTGGTACAGCAATCATGCCAATAGCTACTTCCTTCATCCAATTAAAGGGAATCATATAATAACCAATTAAAAATGAGTAATTAGCACATTGGTACCATGGTGTGGTCAACCTTCAGGGTTTGGTAGATAAATAAGGGGTTTTACATCACCTCACTTGACATGTTATCAAGAGTTGGCTGTGCTGATGACAGTAAAATTAAATGAATAAAAAAACATACACTGATTTGTGTCATCAACTAGGGAGGTGCTGACATTTGATGTCAAGAAGAAATGTTGTTGATGTTGTGGTTCAATTTTTTAATCGGTGGTTTAATTTTTGTTGATCAAACTCATTACCATACATTACCACACCCAAAAAATAAAAGAAAATAAATTTAAACTTAGGATAAAATTGAACCACAAAATCTACCTGACTGTGTTTATTTGAGCTTGGACTTTGACTTTAGGGGATTGATGAAGTGAAACATTGTTTGCAGAACTACCTGCATGTGATGCACTATATGAATTTTGATTTGTTGCCAAACTTGAGTTAGATGTTTTCTTTTGTATAACCAGGTCATGAAATATCCAGATCAGTCCCTGGAATCTGCAAAGCACTTCATCCTTGTAAAGATTTCTAAGAAGGGATCCACCTTCTTGAAGTCCTTGATTCCAACCTCCCAAATCCAAATGCTGGTTTTACTGTATGTTTACAGCCAACTGACTGCAGTCTTCCTCTGGTTTATAATTCCCTTGATTATTTTCTACATCTGCTTTTTGTCACTGGTCGTGTTTTCTCTCCAAATGTTTTATGGAAGGGAAGCCTTGAGACAACTGAGAAGTGTGTCAGAGCTAATGAAAAAGTATGTAATCTGTTTATTAATTTTTGTTTATGGCAATAGGCGGGTATACTCCTTGAAAATTTGGGTGCAGTTGTGATGCATGTGCGCTGAAACTCTAACCCTAGTCAAATTAAAATCTTTGATTTTGCCTGCAGAATTGTGGACCTCAGAACAGCTCTCTTTAGTAGATTAATTAAAAAAAAGACAAATTCAACCCTAGACCTTACCCTACTTGATTTAAAATTTTAGACCAAAAGGGGCTCTAAAACTGTACCCTATGGGGCTGCATCTTCCTATAAAGCTTAAGGGAGTACCCCCCCGCCTCTCTGAGATAGTAATGCATAAATGGTTTAGGCCACCCAACGCTTAAGCCCAGCTATATAGTCAGTAACAGAATGGTTTTGGTAGCCATGGAAGTCAATAGCTATTTTGGGATGAAGTATAAAAAATAAACAAATAAAAATAAATAAAAAAATTAACTATTCCCTTGTTTTAGCTGGAATAGAAAATTGTGAACAGCCAGTTACCCCAGGGATTTGGGGGGGGGGGGGGCGTATCTGGGGATAGAAGTGTGGGTGCAAGGAAAACCCAAAAATATAAGGCCCAACTAAGGCCACTACCAAATTACTTTCCCTCTGCAGCTAAGGCTGACCCTGTCTGGTGCAAGATGCAGGGGGAAGTGTTGCTGGGGTGAACTCTAGAACTGGGTATTCTTACTTTGCCCTCCCAAAGTAGGTTCCCTCTGCAGCTAAGGCTGACCCTGTCTGCTGTGGTTAGGATGGGGAAGTGCAAATAGGGTAAGAAGGGTGTTTGCATAGGCTCTTTAAAACCTGGTCTCTTTTTACACCCCTCCAAAAGTAGCTTCCCTCTGCAGCTAAGGCTGGTCTTGTCTTCTGTAAGAAGCGGGGATGTGCAATTGGGGTAAAAGGGGGTTTGCAGAAGCACTTTAAAATATGGTCCCCTTGTTCTGCCTCTCCCAAAGTTCAGCGTCCTCCTTTCAGCTAGAGCATAGCCTTTTTTAGTGTATTTGTAAGGAACAAACAAAAACTATTGCGTGACTTTAAAAATAAATAAAATGCTGTGTAAAATTGTTATATCTTACTAGGTTTGACCCTCGACTGAACAGCAGTGAAGCCGAGAATAAGTTCATGTGGAACTCTGTGACTCCATACATTTCCTTCTTCACTGTTTTGTTGGTAACTGTGGCTGTGTTTCCACTTTGTGACAAACTCTGGATACCGTGTTCTGAACTGAGTTTGGTAGCTTTGTTCTTTACAGGTAAATGCTTGCCATCTCTCATGATAGTTTGTGTTGTGGATGTTTCTCAGGTACGCACAGGTAGCTACCCGCCTGCTTAGGCAAGGGGGATACTCCCTATAATGGTCGATAAGAGGAGGCTCTGTCTGAAAGGGGTACCTTTCTCGGGCTTTAGGTACATTTTTGTATATGAAAGAGTGGGGACTTCACTTGCTGGAGTATTTCAAAAGGTTGGGAAATCTGTCATTTTGAGCTATAAAAAAACCGAAAAGGGCTACAGCGTTCAAACTTATAAGGTATGCAAAAGGGATACTATTTGTCAATAAAAGGTATACGAAAGGGGTACCTTTTCTGTTAAAAATGGTATACTAAACGGAGAGGTGTGGACCTCCGGGCAAAGCCTCCCCGTGGGCCCACATGTGAATGTAATGTTCAGAATTTCTATTGCGGCAGGGTTAGCTGAGCTGTAGCTGGGTACTGGCCCTTACTTCTCCCCAGTCTTTTCATCCATGTCTCTTTTTTAATACAAATGAGGGAAGTGCGTATTAGCTGCACGCGGAGGAGATGGGAAGAAAGAAATGAGGGAGAAGGGTATTCTTTCCTTTCTCTCTTCCTTCTGTCCGTCTTCTCCTTTGTCGAGGTGATCTGCAAGTCTCCCATGACCGCATGCAAACGATACTGAAGAGATGACTTAGGATGAGTCAGGTGCTGGTCTGTGGAGCGTCAAGTCGCAAGTTTGATACCAAGCAACGGACCAATAGTTAGGGTCATTAAACTAGCAGTAATTAGGGATTAGTAAGTGAGTTCGAATGTTGTAGGTAGAATAACGCACTTTCTGTACGCGTCAGAATAGTAAACAAGTTCTTGATCAAGCTTCGTTCTATTAGACCTACGAAATCTTAAAAACAGATTGCATTTACTTCCAAAAATTATTGAGTTTAAACTTACCGAGTAAAGACAGAACCTGACGAGGAGCTAACGAAGAAAATGAGCTGTGCAGACAAAGAAAACAAGCAAAGCTGCACGTGGAAGAAAAGAAATGCGCGCGCTCCTTGCCCATTGAGTCTATGACGTATTTCCGGTGCCTGCACGAACCAAAGAGTCGAGATTCTTTCTGCTAAATGCTTGTGCCCAGGCTTCTCGCGTTCAGTTTATGTTGCGTTCTCCTGTCGTCGAACGCAATAACTGAGGAAGAAGGAATTGTCTTTGCTTTGGTTTTACTACCACTTAGAATTTGTGGCCCAGTCTCCATCGGGGAACCTAAAAACAGTCGTTTGTGCTATGTAACTTGTTGAATCCATGCTTGGAGAGCGCTTTTCCTTAGCTTATGCAGTTAAAGACCACTCCATCTAATGATTCCATATGGTTACTAGTTTCTTCTTTTAGAGGACTGCCGGATAAATACGATGACTTTCCACTGTACACAATTCTCCTCAAGTTGCTAACCACCGGATTGTGTAGTTTGGGTAATGTGCGAGGACTGGCCTTCCTGTGCTACCCAATTTTTGTTGGTAAGGTAAAGTCATATCTCTGCAAAATTTTATTGTTTTTCAATTCTTTTACTTTATGGAAACACGAAAAGCGTTAATCCTATATTTAATGCGAAAACTCTTCGTCACGTGAATTGCAGAGTTCATCCCTCTGTGTCTGAATCTTAATAAAGCAGACACCAAGACCAAGCACAGGGTTCTCAATAGATTTTTAAGTAGGAGGTGATCACTGATAAGGTAGGAGGCTCTTCAGCAAAGCCAGAGGTGTTAATACAAAGCATAGAAAAGCGACTTAAACACAAAGTAAGCGGCTATAAATCCCAAAGTAAGCGGCGATCAATCGCCGGGTGCCGCCTTCTATTGAGAACCCTGCAAGCATTTGGGCCATGTGCGGATTGGAAAAAAATGAATTATGAAGTTCTGGTTAGAAAGAAAAAGGGGCGAGAATGGGGGATGTGGCGAGCCTCCTTTCCATACCCTAATTAAAAAGCTTAGTTCCGTCAATTCATTTGATAAAGTTAAGGGGTTCAAGTGCGAAAGTTAGCCTCCACCAGAGCCAATTCACGAATTCCTGTCCTCGGACAGTCAATTGTTTGTAATTGTAATTGTAATTTTTCTACCATTGAAGCCCACCTAGAAGTTCCTAACAACTCGTTTAAACGTGTCCGCTCGTTCCAAATCAAATTGGTAGAAGTGTATTGGAAGTGTTATATTTGGAAATGTATTTGAGGAGAGGAGAAAACCGGAGTTTCTAGTCAAAAACCCCTCGGAGCAAAGAAGAGAACCAAAAATAAACTTAACCCACATATGGCGGCGACGCCAGGATTTGAACCCAGGCCAGATTGGTGGGAGGCAAGTGTCCTCAAGTGCTCCCAGAGCTACCTTTATTACTTGCATGTACTTTGTAATCTTCTTTTTTTCGTTCTCCGCAGTGCCCCTTCACTATGGACTGGAATTTGACATCAGTCTTCCATCCATTCTCCAAGTGGTATTTTTTGTCCTGCTTCTCATTATGGCGGGCCGTCACTCTTGGCGTGGAATGTATAAAGTACTTATTCCTTATTTGGTATGCCTGCTATGGTGGCAGCTTTTTACCGAATTGTTTCACTTCACTACCTGGAGCAGCTTGCTTCGCGCCACCCTGGGGTGGGTAATTTTTGTGACCACGCTACCTTTACTGATTCTGTTCACTGTTGGCCTGGCTGTGACGTATTTCGTGCAGTGGTTTATGACGCTTGATTTGGCATTCAAGCTTGCGGTCACAGCTGCAGTTGTAGCGTTTTCATCGGCTATGTTTTACTATTCCAAGCTAGAGATTCCTCATGGAGAGAAACTCGAGCCCAAGAAAAAACTAATCATGATCTTGACGGGGTCGGTGGTTGTTAGCCTTTTGCTTCCCGTTGTTTACATCAGTTTTGTCCCTTCGATATATGGCTCACCCAAAGCCCTGTCATGGAAGGAGTACTACAATTCCTGTGTCAGCATGACTAAGGGGGTTGAAGTCAATATCGCAGCAGTACAGATAAGATGCAATGAATTTCAAGTCGAGTCTGTCAACTGGACTGGAATTGTAGCTGATGTTAAGTTGAGCTCTGTAGAAAATCGCTTTCGTCCCTTGGTCACTTACCTCCCCCGGTTTTTGCAGCCTTCTCTGAAATGCCTTCTTGGAGAAGAGGAGAATAGAGGTGGAGACAGGTATGAGGGCAAATTTAAAACTTATATGTATACAGATTTGGTTCCCGGGATCTTTCAAAGAAACTTTGCTCTTTCGTTCCCTTTCAAGAGCTGTTCTAGAGTAAGCAGTGAATTAGTATTATGCCTTCGATATTGTGAATTGCACATGGTAAGCAACAGTTGTTTCCTAATATTACGAATTAAATTAATAGAGAAAATCGTTACTTTTTTGGCAGTAACCATCACACCATTCGCTAGACCTGCGTGATAAAGGGAATTCTGCGCTGTTGTGTATCCAGAATTGTTCGATTATTGGGCGAGTTTAAACTCAGTTGATCAGGTCATACGATAACTTCTGAATCTTATAATAGCAAAAATATTTATTCAAGTTCTTTAACAGAAACACATGATATAGAAAAACAAGAAAGAAAAAATAATGGCCTTAACGTATTGTTGTCGAGGTTGGCAACTGAAGATAGAGCAACGATGGCAGTTCCCTCTCGTTCGTAAAAAAACTAGTTCAGGAGAACAGGAGAACCATAAAAAGTGACTTTATTACCTTCTTTCAGGTTCACGGAAGCACGCTGGTGGTTGCCAAAGGCTAAAGGACCGTGTCATTTAAGAACGTATGACAGGTACACCTTTTCTGTTGGGGTAAAGATGACTACTGATGCAGCATCACAGCACGAGGAAGTAGTTAGAGTGACTGTCACACACCGATTCTACCATACCATGGTCACATTACAAGAGAATACACAGGTATAATATAATTACGGCTTGTCTTATTTTTTACATATTTGCCACAGGTCAGTAAATGGTCAGGGGAAAAATTCCAAGGTCAGAGAACAGTCAGGAACTTCACTTCGATCCAGCGAAAAATTTAAGTCTTTGAAAGACCTCAGGGAACAGGGAAATTTTAAGAGTGCTTGTGTGTTTTCCCGTCTATTTTTACGGTGTAAAATTCTTTGGTAGTGGTAGAATATTGTTCGTGAAATTGAACGACAAGCTGATGTGAGGAATTTCAAGAAAATCAATTCTTTTTGCACGTTATGGTTTTAGAACTATCAATTCATGTACACTGCAAGTGACTTGCTGAAATCAAGTCGGTAAACTTATCAAGTCGGTAGACTTGATCTTTTTGAAGGGTCATGTAAGGCGTTTTCATGTGATGCCACAGCAGCCATGGTGTTCCAAAAGATTGAAAAGGAGGCCATGTTGGTGTCCAAAACGAATCCTGAGGAGGCTTTTTTTTGTTAACGCTTTCTTTTGTTCCAATTAATTTGCATAGATGCTGGTCATGTGGGTGAAAATGCTCTAACTTTCTCCATATTTCCAAAAAGTGTTACACAGGCATTTTAAGAAAGGAAATTGCTTTTTAAGAGCCTTATCGAAAAGAAAGGACCCATGGCCCTCCATGTTATCGGATGGAACGTTGGGGTGCTCTGCCTCTAAGCTAAAGTTGACTGACCGATGGTGAAAGAGGGTAAAATTCGATATTGTATTGACAATATTTCACATAGAGTGACCCTCAACCCATTAAACAACGCCCCCAAGCGAAGAGGTACCTTATACATGGCACTCAAATTTTATTTTGATAGTCGGTTTGAATTCACTGTAATGAAATCCCGTTTTGTTGAATGATTCAGTGTCTCTTCTATGTAGTAGGTTCGTTTCTGATTCTCCGTTACTAACCAACGTTACTTTCTATATCACAGATCACGTTCCAAGGCCGCTTGGCGAGTGGACCGCCTTACGTGACCGTCACGGCCAAGAGGCTCTTTATCAACGGCACCAAGGTTAAACCACATATTGGGCTTGGGCGTGACGACATATTTGAAGGATTGCGTGACTCTGGTCGATTCATAACCCGGTTTTTTATGACGCCGTTGATTAACGAAAGAGACTATGATGAAGATGATGTGTGAATTATGAGAGAGCGGGGCTTTCATACAGTACTTACAAGCTTCTCTTGGAAAAGCAAAGGGGCAGTTGGTGTGGAATTGTGTATTGTAAAGAACGATCATTTTCTAGTAATAAAGAGAATGGGATTAGTGTTTGGGATATAATTTATGGCACGTAATGAATATTTAAGTGATGTTTTCAATACGGAAAACGGCTACATCAAAAAAGCAAACAAGCTAGTCTAAGATGTTTTATGTTTGTAAAACATGGAGATTTAGAGCAGTAACAGCTTTGTCCAATATGAGGAAATCCGTGAATATTTGAAAAATTATAGTTTACTTGCTCGTGTTCACTACAAAGCGGACTTCATGTTGAAGACGTGTTTCTGTTTTAGAAACCGCTAGAAACTATTGTGAACAACATAGACATGAATGGAAATTAAGCCAGAAGGCCTAATCGTGAGTTGAGGGGCCTTTTACACCGCTGATAAATATGGATATGGAGCATTGTTGAGGCGATAAGTTGTATGCACGATCAGCTTTTTAAGTTTGACAGAAACTATCCGGCACAGAGACCAACGGCAATAAAGTGAGTCAAATCAAATTGGTAAAATGTTAGTTTGTGCTGATAAAGCTTTCAACTCTGATTAAAGTAACCTATACCAGATTCGTGTTAGCTTGACTGATGGTGAATTCACTGGATAATATCTTTAGTGGTCTCATGGATTCATTACAATGGCATGTCTATAACGAAGTGGGGGTTCAAAAGTTGATTCTGTTGGCTGGCTTCTAGAATAAGAAAGTGTTCATCGATTGGTTCATTTCAGAGCAAAAATAGCCTCAACAGCAGCCGAGATCCGTCCTTGCCTCAAATTCCTTGTGAGATTTGATTGCAAGATCTCCGTCATGTCGTGCAGGGCTATCGTTGCTAGGGCTTTACGAATTTTGAGATCAGTATCTGTGCTTTGCATTCTAGGCCCGAGGCTCTTGCCCTTCACTGACGAAGTGTTGCACAGCTCGTTCAGATCGTGGAGGCCTTTGGGATTGAACATCATGTTTTATATTTTATTTGTAATTTAGATGTGAACGTACACACGCAGACATAATTGGATTAATCTTTACCTACTATACTACTTCACTGTGTAAAGCCCCAAACAACGTGTTCAGATCGTCGTGGTTATTTAGATTGAACACTGTGTTTTATATTTTATTGTAATTAAGATGTCAACGTACACACGCAGACATAATGGGCTTAATCTTTACGTGCTACACTTCTTTAGTGGGTGAAGCCCCGTTCAGCTTGGTTAGATCGTGGGGGTCATTTAGACCGAAGAATATGTTTTATATTTTATTGCAATGTAGATACCAATGTACACACGCAGACATGATGGGCTTAATTTTTATCTGCTATGCTACTTCACTGAGTGAAGCCCCACACAGCTTGTTCAGATCGTGGAGGCCGTTCGGATTAGCCTTTATATAGCAGTTGGCGGATCTGTGCCTTCAAGTAAGTCAGGGGCCCGCCCACTCAGACTCTGAGAGACGGGGGATTCGGGCGAACTCATTAAAACTTTTGCTTGGCCCTGCGGCGCTTGATTTGACTTAGACGTAAGAAGGGGGCCGGGACCCCTTTCTTAGACCCACCACTAGATAGTAAACAAGCAGATTTTACTAAAACAATTATTCCTCTCACCCTCATGGCCTCTGAGTCAATAGCCCATTCGGCCTTCGACCTCGTGGGCTACTAACTCAGAGCCCATTCGGGCTCAAGGAATAATTGTTAATTAATTCTACTGAATATTGTATGCTTGTTAATTATACTCTGCAAGGTAATTTCGTCCCGAATTCCGGACTGGACCAATTGGGCCAACTTGCGATACAGAATTTATCTTTGTCATCCTTTTATGTTCTCTTAAGTAAGAAAGGGTCATAAAAACTGTAAGTGTTCTTCAAAGACTGCCAAGCTGTAGTTGTAGTTTGATGTACGAGTCAATGAAATCTGTGTAAAGTTTCGCTTTACCGAAAGTGGATTTTGAGCTCCGAACGGGCAAAATGAGTTTTCTCGAATTTTAACAAAAGAACACGTTAGTTAGGAAAACTAACTAGAGCATGTTTCATTTATCATTAAGGGTTATCGATGAGCCTAAAATGAGCGAAATCAAATTTTCGACTTGTGCCGACCGTGAGAGGATATTTACGGAAAGCCGCTCTTAATATTGTCCTCTTTTGTGTATTTGCAGTTATTGTACACTAGTGGTTATAAACTGTTTCACGGGGCCAAGTAAAATTGCTCTAAAAGCCGGGTCACGAATATGCTTGGTCAGGGACCGCGGAGATTGCACATGCTGGATCCACCACTAGAAGTTTACAGATCATGATATTACACTGTAGGTTCCTGTAAACCCTTTTATTTTTGTCTAGTGTGTCATCGAAATGCGTCAGGGACCACATTATCAGCCGATATAATTCGTTTTAAGAAACCGTAGTTCGATCGTGGAGTAGTCTTCAGATTTAATCGAGAACGTTCATCAAAAAAGACTTCCGCATCTTTGCAAATGCTACACAGCCTTGCTGGTTTGAAAACGCAGAAGTCTAGGACTAAGTGCGGTTTTGTAAAGATAGGCGTTTTGAGGCTTACCACGCATCTGACTGATGGGTCGAAACGGACCAATAATAAATTTAGATGCTGGACGATTCTTATTCCAACAAAGATACTATTTAAATATATGAAAATGTATGTTACAGTGGAACCTCTATAAGGAAGTCCTCGGTCTAACAACTTTTTTTTCACTCCAGTAATAGTAAAATATAAAGCAGTACGAAAAAGAATCTCGATATAAGTTAACGAACCTTGTTATAACGAACATATTTTGCCAGTTACTTGGCCTTTCCTTATATCGAGGTTCCGCTGTAATTAATTTTATTTATTTATCTTTTAAAAAGTGCCCCTCCCGCTGCGCGGACTCTGTTGGTTATTGCAATTGGTGTGATATTCAAACATTATTATTGGGACTTTTTAAGCCTTGCTCGGAACTATACATTTTGGTTAATTTCATTCCAAACTTGAAGAATAAAATGAAACCTGATTACAGTGTATCCTCGGTCAGAAAGGCTTATTAGGCTGATTTAGCAACAGGACGGGAACGTCAGTTGACGACGGGAAAGCGCTCGGAAAAGACTAAACACGACTTCCGGTGCTCAATTTGCCGCTCTGTTATTGGTCAAGCCAGTTGTTTGATTTGCGCGCGCCGTCGTCAACTGACGTTGCCGTTCTGTTGCTAAATCAGCCTATTTGTTAATCCATACCGAGTAAATTCGTCACTTTTTTGCCAGTGAATTGGCTTCACATCTACATTTTATTATGTCGGTAAAGTCGACTAGACATCACACCAACTTGCTTGTTATATAAGCAGGCAAAAATAAAAAAAAACAAACAAACATAGATATGTTTATTTGAGCAACAGCGTGCAAAGAAAGTAATGTCCGATAGCCTGGGGCTAGTGGATTTTGCTATCGGGCTAGTGAATTCTGTTTTTAACTTGCCCGACGGGCAAGTGATGTTTTATGAGGAATTTGAATAAGAGAAGAACAAAAAGTTTTGGGGGCTAGTTGAAATGACGTCTGGGCTAGTAAATGCTAGCTTCAGCTTGCCCAAATGGCAAGCTGTAAAAATGATTTTCTTTGCACCCTGAGCAAGGACAAAATATTTTGCAATCAATCATATGAAACACTTCCAAACCAAGCCTCAAACAGTCATGACCTCATGCTAAACAAACTCAGTTGCGTTTGAACAAAATACTGCAGACAATATATAAAACTGAATATATAGCACAATAAACACACCAATAGTCTGTTCACAACTTTCCTGTTTTCTCATTGTACATTAATGAGACGAACGCGACAAACCTTACGCTTCTCACACGAACAAATAAACGTCCAATCATTTAACATGTCCATGGAGTAAAAGTTTGGGAAATCAGGAGAGGCTGTATGTGAAATGTGAAACCTGAACTTTTACAAATCATACGCTCTAAGATCAAACGCAGCAAATTACAAAAGCATTACACACTGAGGAGTTGCATGTTTCATAACAATGGGGGAGGGAATAAATTATTTCTTTAAAAAATTATTTTTTAATTTAATGCTTAATTCTCCTTTGTTCCAATAATTTCTGAAAGCCAGTAATGCTTAAAAAGTGCCTGCAACAGTGGCTTACTCGCGCCTCCCCCGCATAAAACAGTGATTGTCCCGGAGTATTTAGTTTCAAAAGGATTTGTAAATTTGCAATTTCTCCTTTTAAAATCATATTGGTTTGAAAAATGACAATCAAAAGCAGCCAAAATAACAAAGGTTGGGCAGATACGGTTGAGCAAATACTCTGTGCAATGAGTAATGTCACCTCTATCCACAAAAGGATGAAACGACGGACAAAAACAATTGCCGACCTGTCAGTTTCCTCCCTAAAATCTTCAAACCGTTGGAAAAAGTGATGTTTAATCAACTGTACACTTCCTTTGCACAAACTTTCTCACCTAATATGTCATGCTTTCTCAAGGGACGCTCTTGCGCTAAAGTGTTGATCAAATTGGCAGATAATTGAAGACGCGCTCTTGACGAAAAGAAAAACGTTGGCGCAGCTGCCATCGATCGATCAACGCTTTCGACTGATTTGCCATAATTTAGTACTAGCAAAATCAAAGGCATATGGCGTACAAATGCCAGCCCTTTAAGTTATAAGATCATATTTGCATGACAGCAAACAAAGGGTAATATGCAATGACACATGCTCTAACCGGTCATCTCTATGCTGTGGTGTCCGTTAGGGAAGTCGTCTCAGTCCCTTATTGTTTAACATCTTTAAGAATGACATTAACTAATAAGTCACCTTCTCGTCACTACGCCTCTACGCAGACGACACTACCCAATTGTGCTTCAACATACTTAAAATAAAGACATGGAAACTATATCATACTGGAGGGATGCAAGGGATGATCTTTGCAAACTCTTCTTACTATTATGACATGGAGTTTGACGGCATCTCCATCAGTCTGAAAGAAAACTTTACTATTCTTACAGAACACTAGGTTATCTTTGAAATAACATATAAATATGTTGCTAAAAAGTATAAGATAAGAGTTATTAATATAATTTATTATTCATTCAAAATATTTCCTCGATTCTGATTGGCTAAAACCACACGTTTAATTCACGATAACCAGTTACTGATGACAAAATTTGGAAGAATTTTGTCTTTAGCGAAGAAATGACGTCAAAAATGCAGCGTTCGTGCAGGTTAATACACCGTTAACCAAGAAGACCTGGGGACGAGGTTGAATGTTTTGGTTGTGAACTTGAAAAATGGCGGACATGTCACTCGTTTCAAGAGTAAGAAGTAGGCGAAAAAATAGCTAAAAACATGGCAAGAACAGCAAGAAGACAACTCGAAGGGCGAGATCTGCTATTTGGAGAATACTTGCGGAGCTGAACAACCCTAAACGCGCACTATCGAAGATGAACTTAACATCGATGGATCGATGGAGGTAAGCATGTTTTAGCCATGTTTTTAAACTAGGAATTATTTTAAATGAACAATGAAACAATTATTGAATTCGGCTTTCGTATCATATGAAGAATTATGGAGATGTCGGAGGGTGTTATCCTCGGCCTACGGCCTCGACGGATAACACCCTTTTCGATCTCCATAATTCTTCATAAGATACTCAGCCTCATTCATTAATTGTTAAATACAAAAGTTAGGGCTACAATAAGGGCTTACTAACCCCGTAGTTCTCTATAGTATATTGCATGCTATTTTCGATATGTGTGAAATCTGAACTTTCTTTCAAAGTTATCAAAACAACAAACACTAACAAATAACATTGTCACATTTCGAGGTGTAAAAAGGAAAAAAAAGACAACTGCACAACTGCCAAGCGACACCAACTAAATCATATACGCTAAATGCCACATCAGAAAGAAACCTCTGCTTACGGGGAAGCAAAGTCCTTTTTGTGTTACACACACGCATAGTTTCTTTGACATCAAACACTTTGTGTGACCCTGAAAATAAAGACACATTTGATGCATTAACGCACTTTGATCACTTTAGGTAACTTTTGCTGGTCATTTTCGCTAAACAACAACTTTCATGGATTTAGCCAAACAAAACATGAACATTGTTTCCAATCCAAACAATGATCCAGGCCTCCTTATTAACATTTGAAAATGTAACCTTTATTTGGGGATAAAAATCTCGTTTGCCTCTATTAACATTATTATCAATATAAGCTTCAAAATTATCGTCATCGTCATCATCATCATCATCGTCGTCGTCGTCGTCGTCGTCATCGACATTATCATCATCATCATTATTATATCATATTAGACTATATTAGGAAAGAGATTGATTTTGATAAGTTTAAGAGACTCATTAAGACGCACTATTTTAAAGAGGCCTATAGCGACCCGTCTTGATCTATCGTAGTTTTTATTTTCTACTTTTATCTTCTCTTTTTACTTCTTATTTGGTATGAGTTATGCTAAATTACCTATTAGGAAGGAAATGTAACAAATGATTAAGCTTTAGTATATAGAGAGTATGTAATATGACTTTTGTTTCAGTTTTATTGGAGTGTTATGCCCATTTGATCATATCTTTGAATGTGAAAATGTGCAATAAAAGCAATAAATATTATTATTATTATTATTATTATTATTATTATTATTATTATTTGTTCCATAAGCTATTCCAAACCATTTTTTCAACACAAGGATAAGTCGAAAGTCCTTAATCTGAAAGAAGTTTTCTAGTTTTCAATTCCCATTTCAGATCTATCTATAAGTGAACTCTTAACGACTGGCAATGTCGTGGGTCATTGCGATAGCAATGCGTTTGAAAAGGTTTGGAAGCTTTGTAGCCATTTTAGAGACGTTCAGAGGGTTTAATTTAACAGAATTTTCTTTACCCTATCGGCCTTCGGTAAGAAAAAAGTAAGGAAAAGTGTTTGTATGGCCTAAAATTCGGAAACGTTCACCGAAATCTTTCCAACTTTTGTTGTAACATTCGGTACAATTGGTGGCTAGAACCCAGACCAAGAGAACGCTGTGACATAATCGTCAACATTGTTGAAGTGTTTTCCATTCTATGAATTTTTTTTGTCAGTAATTTCCTTAATTTTGCAATCTTTAAATTCTGCTGTTAACAACTTAAAAAATACAAAGCAAGAAAAAGGTAATTTTTTACTTACTTCTTCAATGATTTTCATCAAATTGAATTGTAACGTCATCGCCAATCAGCACAAATGGGGCCCAGTACTTTGGGGCAGAAAAGTTTTCCGAGTCCCGGAGACATTTCATGGCCTTCTGAAGAGCATAGCTAGCACTTTCGCCAGCTCTCAGGTGTTGGTAGAAACTTTTCATAAACTCCATTGTGGCTTCGTCATCGATTGCCCAGAGTGACACTAGCACAGAACGAGCACCAGCAAACAAGAAAGCCCGCGCCATACCGACGACGCCCTCGGAGTTAACTTCTCCTTTACCACTATGGCAACAACTGAGAACAACCAGCCTCGCTGTCAACTCAGTAGCTTGTATATCAGACATCTTCAAAATATAATCCTCTTCCATAGGGTTAGGATTCTTTGATTCCCACCCGGGGTTTGGAGCCAAGGCAATTTCACCAGTTTCCTTTCTTCCGTGAGCTGCAATGTGAACTAAAGCGACTGACTCTATTCCTTTAAGCACCTCCTGTTTTGTTGCAGCTTCCCCTGTAAGGGTTTGGCAGTTTAGAATTTCTCCAATCATTTCCACCTCCTTTTTTGCGTAATTAAGTTGCTTGTGAATGGGCTTACCCCGTTTATTTGTAACTTTCTCCAGACTTGGATCTCCAACAAGCAGGATTCCATCTTTAGTATGGTGATCAGTTGAAGAATCAGTGATCAGTTTCAAAATTGCAAGTGAGGGAACAGTGCGAATCCTTAAAGATTCACTTAGGGCTGCCCATGGAGCTAACGACAAAGCACCATCAGGGACTACAATAAGTTCATCACAATTAAGCAAGTCTTCAATTGGACCAATAACAACATCATACAGTGGCTTTAACCAGTCGGTATTACTGTATGATGGCTCCAATATTCGATCATCGCCTCGAGTACTGGGAGCTGGATTCTGTGGATTGTCGCTTACCTGATCCAATGACCGATTCTCGCATCTTACATCGACCCCAGCATCAATTTTTTTCAAAGCAGCTTCCAAAAGAACAGCAAATGAATCTTCGTGTACACTTTCACTTGTTAACTTTGCTTGCCTGAATACAGCGTTGCTTTCCTTTCCCAATACCCATAAACTAATTGTTTCATTTTGTATTGCAAGAAAAGCTGTCAAAGTAGATACTTTTCTTGAAGTGTTTGTAAACTCGTCTTCAGAATTATTGCACCTGTGTGGAAATGATGGGAAGCCATATTTTATTTCCAAGGCATCTCGCAAGGCTTGTGCTCTTCCTTGCTCAGCAGCGTATAAAGCCTCGTCCGTCTTTTGAAGCATTAAAAGAACTTGCCATAAATAGGTGTAGGCAGTTTTACAAACCTTACGAAAACTTATTTTCCAGACATCTTTGGAAATGCGACTGGCTCTAATTGTGTTAAGAGTTTCTACGCTCGATCTAAAATGAGCTAAAGCTTCATTCAAAGAACCTAATTTTAAAAAAGACAAGCCTAGACTGCAAAAGGCATGTCCTTCTCCAACCCTGACGCCGACGTCCTTGGCAATGCTAAGGTCTTTCTCGTGGTACTCTAGTGCTCGTTGGAAGTCGCCGAGGTTTTGATAAGCATTACCGAGATTGCCATAGGCAAGTCCTTCTCCGGCCCTGTCGCCGACGTCCTTAGCAATGCTAAGGTGTTTCTTGTGGTACTCTAGTGCTCGTTGGAAGTCCCCGAGAGAGTAAAAAGCATTGCCCAGATTGCTATACGCACGTCCTTCTCCTACTCTGTCGCCGACGTCCTTGGCAATGCTAAGGTCTTTCTCGTGGTACTCTATTGCTCGTTGGAAGTCGCCGAGAGAGAGATAAGCAATGCCGAGATTGCAATAGGCTAGTCCTTTTCCGGTCCTGTCGCCGACGGCCTTGGCAATGCTAAGAAGTTTCTTTTGGAACTCTATTGCTTGTTGGTAGTCGCCGAGAGCGTAATAAGCATTCCCGAGATTGCCATGGGCACTTCCTTCTCCGGCCCTGTCACCTACGTCCTTAGCAATGCTAAGGTGTTTCTGGTAGCACTCTAGTGCTGGTTGGAAGTCGCCGAGAGAGTAATAAGCATTGCCGAGATTGCCATAGGCACTTCCTTCTCCAGCCTTGTCGCCGACGTCCTTGGCAATGCTAAGGTGTTTCTCGTGGTACTCTATTGCTCGTTGGAAGTCGCCGAGGTTTTTATAAACATTGCCGAGATTGCAATAGGCCTTTCCTTCTCCGGCCCTGTCGCCGACGTCCTTGGCAATGCTGAGGGCTTTCTCGTGGTACTCTAGTGCTCGTTGGAAGTCGCTGAGAGAGTGATAAGCATTGCCGAGATTGCAATGGGCGCTTCCTTCTCCGGCTCTGTCGCCGACGTCCTTAGCAATGCGTAAGTGTTTCGCGTGGTACTCTATTGCTCGTTGGAAGTCGCTGAGAGCGTGATAAGCATTGCCGAGATTGCAATAGGCACGTCCTTCTCCGGTCCTGTCGCCGACGTCCTTGGCAATGCTAAGGCGTTTCTCTTGGTACTCTATTGCTTGTTGGAAGTCGCTGAGAGAGAGATAAGCATTGCCGAGATTGCCATAGGCACGTCCTTCTCCGGCCCTGTCACCTACGTCCTTAGCAATGCTAAGGTGTTTCTGGTGGTACTCTAGTGCTCGTTGGAAGTCGCCGAGAGAGTAATAAGCATTGCCGAGATTGCAATAGGCACGTCCTTCGCCGGCCCTTTCGCCGACGTCCTTGGAAATGCTAAGGTCTTTCTCGTGGTACCCTAATGCTCGTTGGAAGTCGCCGAGGTTTTTATAAACATTGCCGAGATTGCAATAGGCCCTTCCTTCTCCGGCCCTGTCGCCGACGTCCTTGGCAATGCTAAGGTCTTTCTTGTGGCACTCTACTGCTCGTTGGAAGTCGCTGAGGTTTCGATAAGCATTACCGAGATTGCCATAGCCCTTTCCTTCTCTGGCCCTGTCGCCGACGTCCTTGGCAATGCTAAGGGCTTTCTCGTGGTACTCTATTCCTCGTTTGAAGTCACTGAGAGAGTGATAAGCATTGCCGAGATTGCCACAGGCCTTTCCTTCTACGGCCCTGTTGCCGACGTCCTTGGCAATGCTAACGTCTTTCTCGTAGTACTCTAGTGCTCGTTGGAAGTCACCAAGAGAGAGATAAGCATTGCCGAGATTGCAATACACACCTCCTTCTCCGGCCCTGTTGCTGACGTCTTTGGCAATGCTAAGGTCTTTCTCGTGGCACTCTATTGCTCGTTGGAAGTCGCCGAGGTTTCGATAAGCATTGTTGAGATTGCCATAGGCAAGTCCTTCTCCGGCCCTGTCGCCGAAGTCCTTGGTAATACTAAGGTGTTTCTCGTGATACTCTAGTGCTCGCTGGAAGTCACCAAGAGAGTGATAAGCATTGCCGAGATTGTAATAAGCACGTCCTTCTCCGGACTTGTCGCCGACGTCCTTGGCAATGCTAAGGTCTTTCTCGTGGTACTCTATTGCTCGTTGGAAGGCGCCGAGGTTTTGATAAACATTGCCGAGATTGCGATAGGCACGTCCTTTTCCGGCCCTGTCGCCGACGTCCTTGGCAATGCTAAGGTCTTTCTCGTAGTACTCTAGTGCTCGTCGGAAGTCGCCGAGGGAGTGATAAGCAATGCCGAGACTGCAATAGGCACGTCCTTCTTCAAACCTTCTGTTATTTTGCTTGGCTTCTAAAAGACGATCCGTAAGATTTTCAATTTGTTTTATTATCCTCTGTGTCATTCTTAAATCTTAATATTGCAAGTGTGATTGCTTGTTGAAGGTAATATGCCTAGAGGAAAAAAAATTGTTATGAAAGCAATCATAGAACACGTAAGAAAATAAGAAAAATAGTTTCTCTTTCATGAACTAATTAACAATTACATAGACCTCAACAACAAAAACACTCCCCTACCCCCACGTCTTCATTCTCAGTGGACAACTTTCAAAGGTGTTCCCAAATATTCCTGTCGGACGTAACCGAAATGGTTTTTCCATTTGATTTCTACCCGAATTTCCTAAAGTTTGGGCGGAATAGAAAGCGCCCATCATTTTTTCTCTTGGGTATAAACATTGTTCGAAATTCTGCCTGGACGCATAGCTCTTCTTTCATTTCCATATTTTACAGTACTGTGCAAAAGAAATGCAAACGAAATTTGGTATTTTTCGTTCTTTGTTCTCGCAAAAATTCGACGAAATTTCACCACGAAATTTCGTCAAAGCGCTCGCGAATTTTCGTGGAGTCAAACGAAATTTCCATGTTATCTTAGCGAAATTTCGTTTTGCCGAATTTTTGTCGGAGAGAAAATTCGAACGCGCGAAATTTCGCCAGGGCAAAGATTCGCATTGGCGATATTTCCTGTGAAAAACATTGTTCGCTTTTGTGATTACCTAGAGCTTATCTGCATATGAAAATTTACTAAATGGCTTTTTAGTGGGTATATCTCAGTATATATATGCTGCATTTTTGAAAACATTACCTCCCAACAGTTTTCATTCGGCCAAGAACTACCTTCAAAATAGCCATTATAAACACTAAGAGTGAAAGCAATGTTTTTTCTCTCTTTTTCTGGTGGTTTCTTGGTGTGGCGGATCATCAAATGACTTCACGTTTACCCTATTTTGTTTTATTCTAATGGTTTGTCACCATCCTCGGCATCTAGTTGAAGTCTTTATTCAAACTTTAAAAACCCTCACTTCGGTAAACGAATGCAAAAATTTCTGTCAGTTTGTCAGGGCCGACAATTTACTGACAACTTTTGACTTAACAATGTCAGAGTTCAATTTCAACTTGATTTCTACTGCTTAAAAAAGGTCATGGACGTCTGAGCTGCTGACGTGAAGTCCACCGTAGCTTTCAAGGACTCGCATTTGACGGACGGGTATACCGATTGTTCGCCGTGATTTCGGCCTTTAAAGGCACTGCAAAGCTCAACAACGAACACGGATTTCAGGCCATAGTTCTCTAACAAAAACTTGTCCTACTCCTCGTTTTACCCTTCTCTTAACCGTCACTATAAAATGATTTTGGTCAGTCAGCAACTTTTGATTTTCAAAAAATACTATAGTCAAGACACGATTTTCATTTTGGAATTAACATCTTTAGAAAAATAAATTGGTATCCTGCAAATACGTTATGTACGAAATGTATGGTCAATTCATCAACTTCGAATTCAGTTTTAACAAGAAAAGGAAACAAAAAACAAGTTAATAATGAATACAGTAATGACTTTGTTGACAGGCTGAAAAGTTCAGATTTGAAAAACTTCCGTTATTGATTTCTTTTTCCAGAAACCAAAATCATTTTTGAAAACTATAAAACTGCCCGTTTTTATTATTATTATTATTATTAAAGATTTTACTGTTATTATTAATACAGGGTAATGATTGCCAGTTGAGGCTGTGTTCACACTATACCGAATAGCTTTTAGAGCTCTGCACTTTAGAGATGGGGGCGGCGCAGCGTCGCTCCGTTACAAAACTCGGGCCGAAATCCCGTTCTTCTGAGTGAACTAAAGGTTTTCGTGCCGGCGCCAAAGCTATCCGGTGTAGTTTGAATATTGTTTAAATGTGACGCACTTACAGTCGCTTCTGGCAAATTTCCTTTTTTTCCCTCTTTTCAGCTTCTTCACCTCGGCGAATCAAACTGGAAGTAACAAAGAAAGAAAATTAAAGAAAGAAATTTTCTCACAAGATGAGAAATGGTAAGAAAGAATTATCCTCTAGCTTGGATATGTTCTATATATATCCTCTAGTTTTTCCACGGGGACAAACTTACGCGTTTGCAGCTGAGAAAGCAGTTAATCTTAATCCTTTTAAGACGAATCGCGATCTTTTTTTGTATTTGTTTCGCCCCATGTAACGGAATCCAACATAGTCTTAGATTCTGGATTCCACGACGTGTATTGCACCGGGATTCCAGTTACCCGGGATTCTAGTCATTTTCAGTGGATCTTTTATTCTGGATTCCAGAATACAAGGGGGCGGGTCGGGATTCCTTCAGCTGCATGTATTCCGAATTTCACAAGCCCAATTTCCCGGATTCCGGAATCCGGATTCCGTTACATGCCGACGATTTGTGAAACATGTTTCCATGTTTGTTAGCAGTCACCTTCGTCAGTCAGAAAACATGACCAAATAATTTTAGAAAATTGTTTGAAATTATATCATCGTAGAGAAGATTTACATTACGCAATCTAGTTGAATTGCGGAGACTCAACTATTCTATGATCTCGAGGCAATCAGGGTCAGCCCGGCTCATGTAATAAAATCAGGCTTAACTATGATCACCTTACAAAGAAAACGCGAGGTTCAAAGAAAGCATTTAAAGTTGTTAGTGTGTTTTTATTGAGATTTGTAGTTTTTATTGAGCATTTGTCGAGTAGTTTGCTTTATTCGCTGTAGGTCAATACTCCGGGCGTAGTCAATCGAACGTTCAGTTATCGAACCCAATCGAACTCTAGTCGTACGATTGACTTCGATTGGGTTCTTTAATCGAACTTAATCGAACTCACCTAAAAATTTTGCCAATCGAACACAATCCCGGGTTGGAGGAGCGGGGGGGAGGGTACTTCCTTATGAGAGGCTAATGGGGTCGGATTTTCACGACTGGATTGACTATAATGGGGTCGCATTTTCAATAGAGTTACTAGAATGGGGAAGCATATCTTCTGATTTTTTGAGTAAAACCCGGTTTTCACGAGCGCATAACTAAGCATAAGGACATACGCACGCGCAGAAAGGCATTTTTGACTCAATTCTCGATACCAGCTCTCCTCAATCCAATGATAAACAAGATGGCGGACGAAGCGTCCGCCATATTGCTTTTTGTATGATGGCATGAGGTCTGGATCAAAGTGAACTATGATTGGTCCACGGCCTTGTGCTTATGCTTGTGCTTATGTCGACCCAGTTTTCACTAGTCAAAGCTACGACATAAGCATAAGCACAAGAATAACGTACTTGTTCGTTTTTCTTGTGCTAATGCCTATGTCGACCCAGTTTTCACTTGCTTACATATGTGCTTGTGCTTATTATGCTTATGCGCTAATGAAAACCAGGCTTAAGACAGTTCTTCATATTTGCGGTTAGCAAACGTACGGGAATGGTTGTAACGTATGTGAAAAGTAAAGTGTTTTTCATTCAATATAAGGTAGATACATAAATAGAGAGTGACTACGTTGGGATCACGAAAATTACATATTTGCCCAAACGTGACTAAGATGGGGGTTTATAATTGGCCACAGAATAGACTATAATGGGGTAGGGGCTCTGAGAGGCCAGCGGCAAATACCCAGCAAAAATTAACCCAAGTGCCCCCCCTCCCCGGGACACAATCGAACCTTCGGAAATCGAACACTTAAACAATCGAACATAATCAACAGCAACAACCGAAGATAAACCAGTTTCATCTGGTTTCAAACAAGGCGTTGGGTTCAAATAAGTTAAGTATCAATTGCATGGCTTCAATTTCAAATACGAGTACGCAAAGATGTCACAGAGGGCGGAAAACGAGTGCTCTTTCGCCGTCGATGTCGGTATTCTTTCTTTTACTTTTAATGAAGCCTTGTTATGCCAAAAGTTTAGCTTGTATTGCTTCTGTTCTGCAACAGCTTTTACAAACGTCGCTTGTAGTTTTAATAGACATTTACTTTGAGATGATGAGAACACTGGTAGCGCTAGCTATTATGACTATTTTGTGTATGCTCTACACTGTTGAGTGCGTTTAGATCCAGTTACAGTGATTTGACGTTTCTGATATCCTAAGAATATCCCCAGTCGGTATTGTCCCGGGAAAGGCATTTTACTTGCGTGGTTTTACGGTGCTATTCATGTTTCCCAAAATTAGTTGTGAAGTTAGCGATTTTGAATCACTTTAACAATAAAGATTTTAGTTAATTCAGGGTTAATTGAAATATTTTTGTTTTTAAACTGCTTCACTTACATCCTTGAGGGAGATCTTTCCGATCAATTCAATTAAAACTGGCTGCGTTTTGTCTTTCTGCCGAACAAAATAGAACTAATCAGGTCGGTTGAGGTCGGTAATTGAACTCACCGAAAAGTTCCAGTTCGATTATCTTTGATTACCGAATCAATCGAACAACAAGAAGACACCTGAAGGCGTTTACGCGGGATGTGTTGGTGTAAGTAAGAATTATGTTGAATGGCTTTCGAAACTTGAGCAGTGTATCAACAACAAATGTGTACAGGAGAGACGGAGATGTTCTGTTAAATACACTAGAAGATGAGTTACACACAATGGTTTCTTTGCTCCTCAAACCATGACTTACATAAATATTACCACCATATATGTTACGAGTATGGGGTAGTTCACTTACAATTGCATTCCGGCTTTACTAAAATCCTCAATAAATGCACTTCCACATTTAACAATAGCATGTAATGTATCAGACTTCCAATAACTACAGGGCGCAAGGCTGTGCTCTAAAGAAAATTTTCAGCTGGGGTGCCCAGCGCTAACAGATGGTCTCTCAAATAAACTTTTCGAGGAGCACTTCGGGCTCTCAAACATTTAGCTGGGGTGTCTGGGCCTCCAATTCGGTCCCCCAGATCGATAATACAGTGAGCTGTTAATTGATTATTTTAGTAATCAACTAAAAAACAAGGTAAATAGGGGACACAATGGGACACAAGAGACACAAGGGGACACAAAAGGACACAGGGTACAAAGCAGACACAGGGGACCCAAGGGGACACAGGGAACACAAGGGAGCACAGTGTAC